AAAACCCCACTTTGACCTCCAACGGCGATGCAACTCTAGGAGTGACCACGTAGGTTGTATGTCTCAATTTCGTGGCGATCTGATCTGCAAGCCTTCGGGATCGTCTTTGGACTCAGCCCCTGGAGTGTGCGTTTGCTCGACAAGGAAAGGCCCGAGATGAAAAAGTTACCCGTCGGGACTTCGCCGTTAATCATACTCCAACTCGGCAGTTTGGAGAAGCCAATTTTCATAGAACCTCGGGCTTCTCTCCCTTTTCACGGGATCAAGTTTCTCCGAACAATTACCGAATCCCCAAAATTGAGTGAGCGGAGGATTAATCCGAGTTGAAGTCCAATTACCATCAGCTATAAGGGCTTGAGACAACCCGTGATCCACTTACCACTTAGGTAAGTTTATTTGGTTTCTACACTTTCTATATGGCGTGATGGCCATCAAGAAATAAAGCGAAATAAAAAAAAACAGAAAATAGAATAGATTTAGAATTAACCAAACTTCCCAATCCCATACGGAGAACAGGGTATAATTCCATAAATGCCACCGTGTTCTCATTGTACTGCAACCTCATGTTTTGCATCAGAATTAGTGTCGGATTGACTCCCGATAGTGCCAAGATGCTTTGGTCTCCCCTGAACCGATTAGTGTTAAGTGAGACATGTCTATACTTAGACATCTGTGTGATCTGCGAATAGAGTCCAACGTGAGACGGGCGTATATGTACCTACAAGGTTCTATCCAGTGGACTTTTTCTCCTTACTCGTGCAGCTTATCTGTTCGGTTGATCTTACCGAAAGCTCTCGCGTTTCCTTTTTTTTTCTTTTCGTTTTCTTTTCGTTTTCTTTTCGTTTTCTTTTTCTTGGTTTCTTCGCGGGGTCGGATATTTTTCCCTCCGATCGCACTATCTCGGTTAATATGTGTGTACCTGAGTGATGTTGCATTACAATTTAACTGAGTGGATTGGACTAGGATTTCGCTTTACTAGAGGAATACAACAATACTTGAATTATCCCAGCCACTTTTTATGTAATATCTACTATACACCTAGGCATTTCCTAAAAACTTCTAGATACTTAACCTATAGGTTTTGGCTTTACAGGTACACGTGAGACCTCAATCCCAACGTCATTGAACATGAAGCATCCACTAACTATCGATATACAACTCTAATGGAAGTGACCTCCACCAGTCGGATCAGTAGCATCAGTACAACATGCAGCGAAAAAATCAAAAGCTCAACTAACGTAAGTACCATGGGCTCACAAGTGCAGACTATCAGCGGCGGACCCTGACGGTCTTCTTGGCAATCCGCCCTCGCACGTCCCTGATCTCCGTGCCCGATGTCCAAAACGGTATCTCGCTTAAACTATCGGCTTTTGGCAATGGAATTGGGAATTCCGCGTTGCTTTGTCATGCATATAGCCCTAGATAGGTACGGAGTACGGAGTTGAGACTACCAACTTCAGGGCATTGTTGATGTTCGAACGCCACGCCTGACCTGCCCAGCTATTTTGGAGGAACCAACGGGGCAAACGGAAAGTCAATTAAATTGCACGGCATGTGAAGCTACCGAATGCTTCTTTGTCTAATTTCAATCTCCCGTGTCTCAGCTTGATGCTTCCAGGATTTAGATTGTTATTGCTCTATGAATGCCGGGTCTCACCAATAACCAAAACGCTACTGCATATCTTATGAGAACTACGCTAGCTCAGCAAGGTATGCTGTATGTTTCACCCGGATTTCCTCGGCTTGTCTGGGAGCTTGCGTGAATTAATTAGAATGACTTCCATGTGCTTGGATCGAGGGCATACGTAGGTACTCCGTACCCCGTACTGTGCTAGGCTGTGGGCTGTGAGGAAACTTATAACATGCGATATCTCAATGGACACCTTGTCACATGCTCGACTGTTTTGTTCAGGGTTCATTGAGGTGATATAGATTGAGCTATAGGGTTGCCCGCACTCGAAGACTTGAGTGCCTCTGTATTTCCTTCTGACTGAAGAAAAGCGAGTTAAATCGTATCCAAGAATGCTTTGGAGTTTGTAGAAATGGTATACTCGAATAATCGAAAATTTTCCTTTCAATAATTAACATATTCTCTAACAATGATGGGGTCAAAACATTTACATTAAAGTACGTAACTATGTAGTCATATTTATATGCAAATATATGTCGAATTTTTTCTAAATTTATTCATTCATGACAAGTCTAATTCTAGGATTATGACTGCCTTCAGGTAACGATGTTATAAAAGAAAGAGAAGTTGATTAGTTCTATGAAAGAGGAACGATGAAGCTCTTCCCTGTTGTGTCGTATGGAACCACCTGGATAGACACCTAAATTTACGCCGAATATGTTCAGGAGCCATCAAGGATAACTGGGAGGGAAGATGGACTCGTAAAGAACGATATAACAATGTCAATGGATCGACCGTTAAACTACACGAGACAAGCAATTGGTATCACTGGACAGACCCTGTAGATGATCGAAATGGGGAGCGTTCTCTTGACAGGAAGATCACTGGGCAATCCACCGCGAGTCTGAAAACTTGGAGTGACGTGGAAAGGGCCTAGACGTAGTTCTTTGTATCGAGCTTTGGAAAAGGCAGTCATTATACTCAATCGAATCAAGCTCTGGCCAGCGGAAGCATTGGCACATATGCGTGGATGTAAACGACGGCCCTGTGCAGACCAGCTTCATATGTACACCCGATCCATCTACATCTTACAACTTACCATGCACGATACATAGAATTCGAGGGTCAGAAGAACACGGAAACCGATCACATTACTACTCCAAATAGACCCATGGGTATTGCAAAAAAGGCATTGATTCATTTTTGCTGACTACCATTTTGCCAACGAAACAGTTAACAAAGAGCTAGCAGGGGGACAAAGAAAGACCCGCTTAGTTCTCGTAGAGAGTGCTGAGGAAAGTCTCGGCAGGAGCAGTAGGCTTGCCACCCTCGACGGACTGCTGGCCAAGCTTCTGCTTGGAGTAGGCAGCGGCGTAGGGGTTGAGGCGGAGCATGACCTGCTTGTTGCGGAGAGGGTTCTTCTTCTGGACGTTGACACGCTTGGTGCGGGCCTCGCCCTTGGGAGCCTTCAGGACGGACTGGATTTCGGAGGAGTTGATGAGGCGGGTCAAGTCGGCGTTGGCCACCAGGTTGGAGGGCAGGAGGTAATCCCGCTTGAGAGCCGAGGGGCTGGTGGTGGTACCGTAGACCTGGTCAAGAGCCTGGAAGGCGGAGGAGGTCCAGATAACGAAGCGACCGAGGTGGCCACCGGGGGCGAGCTGGAGGAGGTTGAGGGAGAAGACGGGCGAGGTCTCGACACCGGGGATGTTGCGGAAGGCCTTGACGAGGTCCTTGCCGTCGGTCTCGGGGTTGTAGACAACCAGAGGTCCGCGGCGCTGGCGGAAGCGGCGGTTACGGAGCTTACCCTTACCGGCGCGCATCTTGCGGGACTTCTGGACCTTGACGAGATCGGGTCCGGCACCGACAGCCTGGAGGAGGGCGATGGCGGCCTTGGTCTTGTTCAGGGACTCGAAGACGGTGGACTCAACGACGAGGGGAACCTCGGGGACGTTGGCGACACGGTGACCGCGGGCGAAGAGCAGAGCGGGGGAGGCAGAAGCAGCCAGAGCGGAGGCGGTAGCGAAACGACTGTAGACGCATGATTATTAGTTCCTCCGCATTTTCTCGAATCGGTTCAATTCCTTCAATTGGGTTTCCACATACCGCTGGCCAACGTTGACCTTCTGGTGCCACTTGCGCCAGACCTTGGTAGGGGCGAACATACGACCGGAACGGCACTGGTTACCGAAGGCAGCCTGACCGGCACGGTGAGTACCACCACCGGAGACACGGGGGATACGGGCAACAGCACGACCTATTCAGCGTGAAGCAATCCAGTCAGTTATTGTTCTTCATATAGAAGAATCTGTCGATCGCGAAAATTTTCGCAAACTCGGATCCGATTCTTCCAATCTCGAAAAATGTGCTGAAATCACGTACCGGTACCCCAGGACTCAGCAGAGGTCTGTTCACCAGCCTTCTCGCTCACGGCGTAGGGCTGGCGCTTGTTCTTGGCCATACCAGTGTGAACGTGCCTGTAGAGCGATGGTCAGCACTTCCCCTCCATCGATTTGCGAATCCTTCAAGTCTTTGGCGAGTCATACTGGACAATATCCGGGCGGATAGGAGCACCGAACACGGTGGGAAGGGGGTGGGAGGCCCCGGAGGGCTTGCCCTCAGCCGTGGCGATCGAGACAGTCGGGCGGGAGGCCATTGTTGCTGGTCGGTGTCGAAGTGAGGTTGAAGATCCAATCTCTCTGAGTCGGGGGGCTTCACAACTGGGTGTGGATTTTTTCGCTTAGTGAGAAAATGCAGTGGGGCGGCGAACCCTAAGCCCTTCCTGCCATTTGTGGACTAGTGTAACTATGTAACAATTATCTAATCAAAATCAAAGCTATCACGTGGGGTCCACAAGTGGGTCTTTACCAGGTGCCATCTTGAACGTTGAAGTCATTAAGTTCTACGCTACCTACGGTAATAGCTTGAGGAAAACATGCTGGAGGAGATGTCGACTGTCAATCTCTGCATTTTTTATGGCTCCATCCCTCGGGCAAAGTGACCATTACTGTAGCTGTCTTCCTCTGTCACCAAGCTTGCTTAAATGTTCCCAATGTTGACAACCTTGGAAAAAGTAGTGTTGATTGACAAACAACACTACTGTTTGAGTAACACTAATATCTACTGACTACTGACAGTACAATAACAAGCCACGATATACAAAAATGTTACCGTTATATGAAACCCATGAGATGTCCTATTTTCCTAGTCTCATCTCCTAAATGTACAGGTAAGGAACATATAATGCACCGAAAAGCGAAAGGACCAGCCCAGCAGAAAAGAAAGATCATAAGTGAACAAAACCAGAAAAAACCACCCAATGATAGAAAGAAAATGAGTACAACATCCGAAGCCAGCGGGTCATGTTGCGTATCTAACTAAGGTGGATGTGGTGACCACTGAGGGTGCGCTTGCGGAAGCGCATGCTTGAGATATGACGCGCCTTCTTAGTGGCACTGACAACAAGCTCCTCGCTCTTACCAGCGTTACACTGGGTGCCGGTCGACATCGGCTGAGCGACGGACCAGGTGCCAGAAGCACAGCGCTGGAAGGAGGTGCCTGCGATGCAGTTCCACTGGCCCTCGGTACTGCAGCTACCCGTCAGGGTACCGGAGCTGGAGCTAGAGTCAGAACCCAAATCGGTGGCCGAAGAGGTTGTCACGGAAGCTGGGGCAGCAGTGGTGGACGCGCGCTCAGGCTCAGACACGGGCTCAGCGGGTGGGTTTGATGGAGCAGCAGCTGGCCCTGGGGCCGCAGAGGCAGCAGCGACAGGGGCGCTCTCTGCGGGGGCAGAGGAAGAGTCAGAAGAAGCAGAGCCAGTGGAAGCCGAACCAGATGAGCTGGACCCAGTGTCTGAGCCAGAGCTGGCAGAGCCCGAGGAAGTATCACCAGAGCCGCCGAACCTAGCAGTACCGATGCAAGCCTCGGAGCCCTCACTGGCGAGGTTGGTGGGTTCTCCGTCATGCTCGACATAGTCACCAGGCTGGGGGAAGCGGATATCGACACTTTCCTGTGTCAAGCAGCCATTGATGTTCGCGACGAACATGGGAGGGAAGCTAGTAGCGCGTCTCTCGAGTTCCTCGGGGGAGCGCTTAGAGGAGCCACCCGAGACAGTGATTGGGGCACAGTTCATGTACATCTCGCGATTTCCAATGCGGTTGAACCAGGTCCAGGCCAGGGTGTATTTGCCAGCGGAGATACCGTCGGGAATGGTGAAGTTGAAAGAGTGGGGATCGATGAGGTCGGGGCCGCCAGGAATGTTACCGTCGACATTGGCAGGGCAGCCACCCTCGAAGGACTTGATGACTTTCCATTGGGAGGACTTGGAGGGTTGCAGGTCGGTGGTCAGACTGATCTGGCAGGAGCCGCCGCCGTGAGTGGCGCTGCCGATGAAGGTGAGAGGGTAGGACTCGCCAATGGCGATGGTTGTCTCAGTGGAGGGGGCCTCGAAGGCGTTGTCGCGGAGCTTGCATGGGAAGTCACTGCCGTCTTCTAGCAGAGGCGAGTTGTTGAGAGTGTCCTTGCTGAAAGGGGTGGGGCTGCTCATGATCATGTGGGCGTTGACCATGGAGGCGCCCATCAGGGCCGCGATGACTTTGGAGCTGATGAACATCTTGGATGATTGAACTTTTGGGGTTGCTTGATGTCTGGTTTGACAGAGATGTTGCAAATGAAATCGATTCGTACCAGACGAATGGGATTCAGGTGTAAAAAATGAGCGGGCCTTGTAATTGAGTGTTAGCGTTGGGATAAGAGACTTGGAAATGCAAGAGACAAGTTGAGATGGAAGGGCTCAGGAGTATATATATCGACAAAGTGTCTCATTGTGAGTCTATTGTGGGCAAGGAATATAGAATCCCTCAACAATAGGTCATAGTTCTCCCACAATAGATCTGACGTGTATCGATTTGAGGCAACGATGCAACAATGGGAGAAACACAATACCTTTGTGTCAAAGTGAATGGAACAAGCTGATTCAAATTCTCACTTATTTCCAATCTCTTTGATGTTGATGAACAATAGCGACAGCCTCTTTGTTTTCTTGTATCAAAGATGAGCTCCAAAAAAGGAATGTATATGATATTCTGCCACAGAAAATCACGCGAGAAAGGAAAGAGACACAGGTCTAGCCTGAATGTCGAATATAGAAGAATAGAAGAGAAGGGACTGTACTGTAGAAGAAAAAGAGAAAAGCCATGGAATGCCGGCGTCAAGGATTATTATATATACAGACATGGGGGTACTCTCGAGCCCTCCCATCTCCAGAAAGCCGAATCCCAGCCTCTGAATGGCCCGACGCTGTGTGCATGGCAATTAACCAGACACACACTTGGTGTGATCCCCGAAAGTCCAGAGACATCTGCTTGGTCGATCGTGTACTCCGTGTATCCACCAGACCTGGAGGGTGGGGAAGGCCGAGGGTCCGAGATGTTTCAGAACTTTGCCTGCCCACTGAGGTTAAGATGTTCCGGTGAAAGCTGAGGACAAATCGAAAAAAAATAAAAGATGACCAGTAGGAAGGTCGGAACGCCACTCCTCGCAGATACCCGCTGGACTGGCGGCTGGAAAGGAGCCAACCACCGCACAGACTTCAAGGTACAAGACTTTCCACCCCCTGTATTTGTCGCACCATCAACCGCCGGCACACAAACTACTTGGGGATTGGCTGTCGTTATAGCCGCCTAGGTTTTTTTTCCCCCGACTGGCATGCCAATTAATATGTTTCCTTTTCACCGGATTCGTGTACTCCGTACGTTCGTTACATTGCAGACTAGAAAACCATACAACAAATGACGCGGTGAAACAAAATGAAAAGTCCGAGGTCCACCTAACGCCGGCATTTGTGGTGTGGGGTACAGTCTTTTCCCTTCGCTAAGCCTCTTTCTTGGCTTGAGAAAGTTCATACGGAGTACGGAGTACACAAATGGTTGTTAGATCTCCAAATGGAATGTGTCAACTTTGCTTTCCAGGATCACTTTAGAGATGTCAAGTTTGGAAGCATACTAATCTTTACAGGCGTGGCTCAGGATCAGGATCATCAGGATCATCAGGGTTGTACACAGATCCACAAAATACTTGGCGGATTTCAACTCTAGAAAACATACTCCGTATGGAAGCCATCAATCCCATTGTCTACTTTGCTTTGTACTCTGTATTTAATATCTGCATCCCTGAGCAAATGAGAACCATTGTGTTAGCAATTCCTGTAATTTCGAACAGCAACCCTCGGCTGGCCGGCCTAAAAGTAGAACGGGACAGGGATCTGCGGTCGTGATCTCAAAAATAAAAATCGAGAGACTCAATCGATGCTCCTATCTGGCGTCGCTGAGACTCGTTCTGTTGTCTACTATGGTAGTATTTGGTGCGTTCGGTTTGCTTTTTCGCTTTGACCGCAAACTGAACTACTATATATATATTGACCTAGTATATTGCAAACCCCCCCCCTGAACACTATTTTTCCAAAATTCCCCCTTAATACTTGATAATTAAATCTTTGGTCTATCGTAATCAAACGATTGATCTACTCTCCGCCTTTTCCCATGCATGACTATTTCGATCTAAGCGCCTACAGTGGGTATACCTTAAAGATGGACAGACCTTGCAGTAAAGTTCGCATGACGATTCGCATGAGAGAGACCAGCCAGCGCACACAGTTTCGCCTCCTGCTTCGGTGGCTACTGACGACATCACATCCTATAATAGATACAATGGCGATAAAGTGAGACAAGCCACCGTCCAGTCCAAACTTAGTCTAACCTGCGAATAAACTTGGCAGGGCCTCCACCAAATAAACACCCAGGTCCAATATCATGTGTAACTACAGCCCCTGCTGCAACAGTTGAACCCGCTCTAATATGTTGTACACCATCTAAAATGGTCACCCTCGGACCGACCCAGCAGTCCGACTCTCTATGATTATCGGACGAGCAAAGGATGTACCACTAGCTTGTTTGCGGTCACTCGATGCAACCTGATGCGTGCCTGTGCAAATACAAACGCCCGGCCCGACGAGGACACGGCCACCGATTTGAATGAGTGCATTGTCGTAGAGCGAAACTCTGCCAGTTTTTCCCCGTAAGACTTGCATAAGAAAAGATTTTAGACAAAAGAGTAACGCGAAGACGTGAACTCGCTCGCGATTAACGTAAACATTATCTCCGATAAACACATTACAGCCCCATCCAACGAAAAATGGTGGCTCGATTGTAACCTTCTGGCCAAGCTGACCAAGCATGCTTTTGGCTACAGCCATGCGCCGCGACTTTAATGACACCAACGTGCTACCCTCGGGAATAGTAAGGTCGTTGAAATCGTTGAGTTTCTTTCAAAGTTTGAAGTTTATAATCCTGAAGTTCTATGGATCTAGATGTGAGAAGCTAGAGGTATCTGTTAATCCTATCTGCAGTTATAGCAGGCAACTAGTAGACAAACCTCGTTCCACTAATCATCCTCTCATATTCGTCGTACCAAGGCACTGGAACGTGACTCTTTTTGAGTTCCGATATCATCGATGGACTTTTTGCTGAGGATGACATAGTGAGTAAAGTGGAATATTAGATGGATTTACGACTAGGTGGTTTATAGGAAGGTTGGAACAGCGAGTTGACAAGAATACACATGATCTGTTTGCCTTGTTTGTATGACACTACATATCGAAGTAGACTTGTTTCCGAAAGAGTGCACTATAGCTCTTTCTATTAAAGATGTTCAATATCAATTTGTCGAAGCAAGAATTTTCTGTCGCTTGTTGCGGTTGGAAAATTGCCAACTCAGAGGATGTGCTACACACATGTCACATTGACTAAGTCCTTCGTGAGCGCCAAAGCAGACTCGGCAGCCATGCATGTGAGCTGCAAATCTGCCCAATGATGTCGTCGTGGCTTCCAGCTCAGACACGAGCGAGGTGAAAAGTTCTTCGTGTTCACATGAGGTCCAGGCATTCGCTGTCGATAGTAATCTGTAGATAACCTCGCATGGTGGGCCATGCACCACAATTTCCCCGCTGTGGTAAAGCGTAGGATATAAATAAAGTCCCAGACACTTTCCGGGGGGAAAGTTGTATCCGCAGATCTAGTGCCACTGATGCCTGCTCGAGGTTTCATCAAGCACCCTGGTCACGCAGACACGGGGTTTTTATGTTATCCGACTCGCTCGAGCCAGACATCCCCATGTAATGAATCCAATTCGAGGATTCTGATCCAAAATCATCAGAGAGATCGCCAGTCCCCTCATTTCTTGCCCTTCTTCTTCCCTTTCTCCGCCGCAGCCTCCTCCTTCTCCTTAGTAAACCCACCCTTAACCAAAGCATCCCGACCAACATCATTAATGAGCCGGAACCGTGCCGGACCAAGTTGAATACCCCCATACCATCGCGTAACAACAACCACAACATTCCACACATCCATCAACTGCATAACATGCAACAGTCGTCCTCCAGCAGCAGTCTCCCCATCATCATCATAATCCTGCACAACAGTCTCCCCACCATCCCCATCCCCATCTTTCCTCTGCCGAATGCGCCAAGCGCTAATATTATGTGTCGCGGCCGCAACCTTCCGATCCGTAGCCGTAAGATGATCGATAAAAGCCTGCGCCTGCGCAAGACATGTAACACGCGCAGCACGGCCCACAAATACCGATTTCTTCTCGCTGACAACGTCCGAGAGGATCCATTCGGGCGGGGCATCGATGCCGAAGGCGTCGCGCAGGGACAGGGCTTCAAAGGCGTCTGTGGCGGTCGACACGTCGATAGTCGGAGTCTGAGTAGATGAGTCGACATCGTCTTGCCCGATACTCAATTCCGGAAATACATCGACAGCTTCACTGATTACATCGAATAGACACACGGCGCCGGCCTGCCAGGTCCGTTGTACGATATCCTCCAATACATCGATGGCGATCTTGCCTTCCCCGCGTGCGGCGGTCGATGCTGTTCCCAGTACCGCGGGTCGAGAGTCTGGGTATGAGGATTCGAAGCCAAGGATGAAGGATAGATAGTGTTGTTCTGGGATTTGGAGGGTTACCACTGTGGTATGGGTGTTGTTATTGGAGTGCGCGGGACTCCCTAGGTCGAGGGTGTTGGTTGTCCCGTTTGCGGGGGTTGTGCGGGTTACGGTTATTGTGTCGGGTTCGTATATGGCGTTTACTGCTTCAATTTCTTCGGCGAGGTCTTGGTTTTCGGGGATTAGAGCCATTGTGCCGGTTGGAGAGCTTGGAGCTCGTGCGGGGTGAGGGTTCAATTATTTTGTGAGAGTTGACCCCATATTTATTCAGGCACCAAGGCATCCAGGCACCAATTTTGATATGCACAGAAAATTTTGACATCTACGGCTTTCATAGTGGGCATAAAGTAACTTATGTAAAGATCCAAATAATAGCATTAAATTTTTTTGGTATTGTGTGATGCAAGTTCAGCCTTAGACAAAATGTGTTTTTCCTTTACTAAGTTGTATCAAGCTTCAGGACTTTTGTTTCGTTTTCATTCAGGAGCTTCATTGTACAGCAGTCTACTTTTTCGTAAACGCAAAGAAAAATGGTCTTTGACAAGGCCCTGAGCTCTCGCACATCAAATGTGATCCTTTCAGTATCGAGGACCGAGGGAAAACGGGCATCGTCCTCACAAGGCTCAATATCTTTCTGTCGCGTATATAGCTCATGAGATGGACGAGGATGCCCGAAGATGATATCGTAGGCGGAAGTGTGTCGGGAGGTTTTGATGTGGATCTGAAAAGAGCAAGAATGAGAAAAGTAAAGTTGGCGTCAGTCATAAAGCTTTCTAGGGGTTACAGAACGCATGTTGGGTGGAATTTGGTAGATTAATACAGAACAAGAAGAGTCAGCGTTGAGAGGAAAGGTGTCAGCATGAAGAGATGGAGATGAAAAGTGGCGAAGCAGGAAGAATGGATACCTTGAGAAGTTAAGAGGATCTTGAAACCTGAGAATACTGGAAGGAGCGGCTTTGTGTCTGGCCTGGTTCTAGAGAACAGAACATTATATCCATGAGTCCGGCTTGACCTCTGTACATGAATGGCCTTTTACAATTTACAATAAACACTAGAAACATTGAGATGATAATGTCCTTGGTTTTTGATGGACTCAGCAGTGCCGCAGGTAAAATAAATACAAGAAACTAGAAACTCATTCCAGTAGAAATGAAAACAAACAAACAACAAATCCTTAATCCTTCAAACATTTGAAGACTCAGCAACGCAGGCAAGAGTTGATTGAACGCAAATCCCCAACATGAGAATACCCAAAACATCATTGGCCTGGCCACTAGTTTTGGAAATCGACAGAATGTTCCCAAATCCTGCGTACATTACAGTATTCATCCTCCCCATCCCATGTTCGCTGTGTCCTCCCAAGCCTCTCTCCCATAGGTGTACTGAATTCCATTCCATGGTGAACTAAACGTGACATCCTTCCATCCAATGATTCCATGACTGTTCAAAGATCTCTCAGTGTGGCTGTCCTGGAGCGTGTTCCTCGAGTAAGGCTGTACGGACTTTTCTTTCATTTTTGGGTCTGTCTCGGGAAGGCTGCAGGGTTCCCCGATGTCGCAGAGTATTGTGTATCAAGGTGTGGTTTAGGCTTTCTGTCGATTTGGTTTGTGCCTTGAGCTGTGAAATGGTTAGTTTGGTTATTTGATATTCAAGGGGGAAATTTCTGGAGACTTACCACAGTCATGACAAATGTGGTGTAGTGGCAAGTTGGAATTGTTTTGTGACGTTGAAACAAGCAACAAGCACTTAATTCTAGTTTGTGTGTGTTTGTCTTGTCACGAGGTATCAATTGATTGTTTGAACCGTTTTGTCAAGAAGTGGTGTAGTCTTCGGTTTGGGATTGGATGGGACCCAAAGTTGGAAGTGCTGCAATCGGTGGTTGGTCATTACCATGTCCCGAGGTGGTCGCCCCCGACTTTATCTGAGAGAGGCACACAGGAAATCTTCGCAACCTTGTGGTAACGGTATGGCAGTTGGGATCTGGCATGACGGGCGAGGCAACGGGGGGCGAGGCATCGTAGCATGGGCACGGCGTCCGCGCTGGACTAGGTCAATGGCGGGATGCAATGACAATGGGAGATATAAGATTTCAAATTGAATTTAAATGAGCATGATGTGGTTTTAGTGTTTGTCGTGGACTGAACCAATTCGAATGCTTAAGGATTGTGTGGGTGAGTGGATGGTGACTGGTGAATGGAAGTGTTGACACTGGTAAAGGAGGACCGTAATCATGAGCTTGCTGCCTCTGTAAATGGGCATGGTTGAATTGGAAGGTGTCGAAAGACTCCAGTGAAGTCAATGGAGGATCTGTGATATTAGAATCAGCTTCATGCTTCAAGGACTGTTCTTGTAAATCTCACCAAAGCAGTGTGAATGATTGAAGTGGCTGATTGAAGTTGAAGTGGTTGATTGGAGTAAGTGATTGTTTGAAGTGGTTAATTGGAGCAGAAGTGGTTGATTAACGTAGACGGTTGAAATGGTTGATTGACCATGACCAGTCTGCTGATTGTCCTGAAGCCGTAGCCCGCCACGGTCAGACTGGAAGTGGTCGATCGACGTGGATTGTTGTTTAGGGGATTACATCGAAGTGGGCGGTTGAAATGGTTGATTGACCAGTCTGCCGATTGTCCTGAAGCCGAAGCCCGCCACGGTCAGACTGGAAGTGGATGATGGTGGATGGTGGATGGTGGATGTTTGGTTGACCAGCCTGCCGATTGTCCTGAAGCCGTAGCCTGCCACAGTCAGACTGGTGTTTGAAGTGGGTGTTTGAAGTGGATGATTGTGGATGGTGGATGGTGGATGGTGGATGGTGGATGGTGGATGGTGGATGGTGGATGGTGGATGGTGGATGGTTAACGTGGTTGATTGACCATGACCAACCTGCCGATTGTCCTGAACCCGAAGGCCGCCACGGTCAGACTGGAATTGGTTTTTTCGGGTGGTTGGTTGAGATGGTGATTGAAACGGTTGATTGGCCAGTCTGTCGATTGTCCTGAAGCCGTGAAGCCCGCCACGGTCAGACTGGTTATGGTTGTACGAATTGGATGGTCATTTCGGGGGTTAGATGGAAGTGGATGGTTGAAGTGGTTGACTGTCCAGCCTGCCGATTGTCCTGAAGCCGAAGCCCGCCACGGTCAGACTGGAAGTGGTTGAAGTGGATGATGAGGTGGGTGATTGATATCGTTGACTGTCCAGCTTGCCGATTGTCCTGAACCCGAAGGCCGCCACGGTCAGACTGGAAGTGGCTGAAGTGGATGACGAGGTGGGTGATTGATATCGTTGACTGTCCAGCCTGCCGATTGTCCTGAACCCGAAGGCCGCCACGGTCAGACTGGAAGTGGATGGTTATTTCGGGGATTGAATCGAAGTGGTTGATTGGAGTTGAAACGGTTTATTGATTGGAGTTGGAGTGTTTGATTGAAGTGGTTGATTGAAGTGGTTGATTGAAGTGGTTGATTGAAGTGGTTGATTGAAGTGGTTGATTGAAGTGGTTGATTGAAGTGGTTGATTGAAGTGATTGATTGATTGGAGTTGAAGTGATTGACTGGAGTTGAAGTGACTGACTGGAGTTGAAGTGATTGACTGGAGTTGAAGTGATTGACTGGAGTGATTGATTGGGGTTGGAGTGGTTGGTTGAAGTGGTTGATTGAAGTAGATGGTTGAGATCGTTGATTGATTGGAGTTTGAGTGATTGATTAGGTGGTTGACTGGAAGTGGATGGTTGAGTTTGTCCAGGTCCAATGACAAGTGGAGCAAGGTCTTGCGATGAGAGTCAAATGGCGGTAGTGGGCTGGCAATGCATGAACAGGAGGCTGTTCCGGTAACGTGGTCTGCAGCTGAGGTCTTGCTTTGGGTGCTCAGAGATGTGGTTATGTGTGGTCATATGTCGTTGGGTACATAAGATGGCCATGTCACAAGCACAGATGAAAGTTGACTTCATATAGAAGCTCCAGCTTGGAAGGTTGCCATTGAAGATTGTGAGATCCATAAGCCTGAAAAAGTTAGCTCTATGTAATGAAAAGTGTTGAAGGATGGAGGAAGGTGGTGACAGACGAGGAAGGATGGAGGAGGAAGGATGGAGGAAGGATGGAGCAGGAAGGATGGAGGAAGGATGGAGGAGGAAGGATGGAGGATGGATGGAGGAAGGATGGAGGAAGGATGGAGGAAGAGGAAGTGTGGTGGAAGGTGGTGACATATGAGGAAGGGGGTGAAGGGTGGTGGAAAGCTGATGGGGGTAACATGTGACGGGAGAAGGAAGGATGTGACCGCAAGACACTCACAGGTTGTAGTAGGAGCAAATGATGGCAAGCCATATCAGTTAAGGTCAAGTGCCATTGAGGCTGTGAGTCAAGTGTTTGTTAGTCCAGGGTTGTGTCAGGTAATGAAGGGCAGACTTACCAATGGGAGTCGACATCATGGGTCGAGTGATGATAGAAGAAATTCATGCGACACGTTGGTGACATGGTCTGTCAATAGAAGCAGTTCGAGGGAACATGCATGTATAGATGATGGAGGATGGTATGAGACCCAAGCTGATCATGGAATGTACTTGGGAGTGATGAAACCCCTGATGGAAGAGGGGGGATTGATGAAATGGAAGAAGAGGAGGGTGGAGAGTTGAATAAGGGAGAAAAAGCAAGATGAGGAATTGGGGGGAGGGGGTATTTATAGGTAGGGGGATAGGCAGGAGACTGACGGTTGGGGAAGGCACGGCTCGTGTGGTTTCCTTGACCTGCTATATTTGAACCACGCTGCTAGGCTGAGTGGTAAGGAAAACAATCAGATTGAAGGACCCTTAGGTGCAAGTCTCCAGTCCAGTGAAGATCCTATGAAGCAAAGAAATTTGTATAAGACAGAGTTTCAAGCACTTGAACCTTTTCTCTATGGATGATTGAGCAACCAGTTTCGAAGAAGCACTAGGTTCTGGCATAGCCTCTGAGATGCATCACACTGAAAATATGTACACCCCGATCACTTTGTCTATTTGCCCAAACTCATGAGTGGTGGAAGAGTGTCCCTAATGGCCTGTCCCCATGAACCCGAAGGGCAATTTCAATGCATCTGAGCTTTACTGGTTCCATTGAAGCTACAGGAAATACATTGGTGAGTTCACGAACATTACTTTGACCCGTTCTCTCCCCGAATATTGATATCGATCAGTGCAACAAGTCTCCTGGAAACAACATCAAAGGTTCGATTGCGAGCAAGATACCTTCATCTGTACTCCCAATAATGTGGGGGGTCAGCATTTGCAACTCAGTCACTCACCTAGTCCTATCCTCTATAGGCACACTGGAGTCTGACGGGACTGCATCTATACGATACAATGCAGAGGATGAAGACAGTCACGGCGAGTCGGACGTTAACCCAGTCATTGCTTTACATTAACGGAGTATCGAGCATTCACCTCCCCCCGTGCGACCACTGGCGAGAACCTATCGACAGTCCTATAAAGTCTGTCTCCGAAGAAGTGGGCTCTCTACAAGAAGAGGAGACTATGCGGGTTAAATATTATTTGGTTACCATCCTTACTATATAATCTGAAGTTCAAAGAGTTCATTCCTTTAGGAAGGGTCTCATGGGAGGATTCCATATGGACGAGCGCTAAATAGATACCGATACAATTATAATATACAAGAAGCTATTGTCACTCACGTGAGCTATTTCGAACATTAATCCTAATGTCGTACTTCAGTACAACCCGACATTGTCTTTTTCGATCTCTTCTTTGATGTCGTTTCCTAACTTGTCTCACGTGCTTTTCATCTTCTAGGTAGGATAGCCAATATAACAGACACACAAGGCACAATGAATTGGACTGAGAAAGTAGATTCTGTTTGGAAACTTTCTTGACATGATACATAGAATCAATGCCAGTGATAAGGCAGTGGCGTAAAAAGCCGTATTGTCGTGATGGTCCCAGAAGACTACCGTGCTTGTCCATGATTGAGATATGGCCAATGTGCGAGATGTTCACTTGGCTGTGTTCTTAATACAGCCTGAGCGACTTCCCCAAGGCATTCTGAATCGATATAATCAAGAAGCCTGACCCATCACTAGTGGGCCTTCGCAGTATTTCCATGCGAGCAAGCCTATGGTACATTCGGGTGGCTTGTGTTCCCATGTATGCTGTTGTGGTGGTGCCTTTCACCAGTACACTGGAAAAGCTTGTGGCTGCTTCAGACTTCGGCAAAATAGGACGGCAATGCCGAATGGCGACGGTGAGGTCGATACTACGACGAAGGCCTAAGCCCAGGGAAAACGGTTGTTAGTATAGCTATTTGCCCCAGTGTATTTAGACGGAACCGAGGGCTTGAATTTCTCGGACAGCCGCTAGGAACGCCACCAATCATGTCTTTTGCGTCGTCATTCGGTATTGGGACTGTAATGCCCTGATTGTCACTCAGTGTCGGACGAAAGCACGGGTGGAATATAGTTTGAAGCGCTCAGATCACAGCCGAAGATTTTCCCTGCATTAGTGCAATCCTTGTAGATTTCTCCGAATTGAAGGTCCAAGACAAATTCGAAGAGATCGTGTTGCCACCCAGATGTGGAGACCGTGTCTCGCCCACATGATTGGGTGTTTGGCTGCCTTGGCTGCCTGACGGATCCGCTTTCGTTTTCCCTTCCCCAGATCTCGTCTCGTATCTTGTCTGTCTTTCTTCCCATACCTCTTCATTTTTGTATTTATTTCTTCTATCTTTTCATGCTTTAGGTCTAGCACGGTTAACCCGCTCTGTTCGCTTCAGGGCCGCGTTCCTGGTGATCTTCCGCTTTACATACCAATCAACGGCGATCCCCACTGTCTATCACAGCGCTAGCGCTCATCAGCCACCGACCGCCATCATACCTTATACCCCATCGTTCGTTCCATTAATTCTAGTTTCTCCATCTACACCACACTCTCCCTCCAAGCCAACGCTTCGCCATGTATGGAGAGGGCCGAGAAGAGGCCGCCAGGCTATATGTTCCTCCACTGCTTGAAGATGACGAGCGTCTTAACGATCCCGACGCTTCCGAAGACCTGCCGCCGCCCGATGTCGAGGCAGGCAGCGCGCTTCCCGTCTGGTTGCGGGAGTCATCAAAGTCGTTTCGCTGGGGATGGGTCCCGCTACCGATCCGAAAGGTCGGTCGCGCGACTGCCAATTGGGTCAAGGGCCCTGACCCGCCGCATATGCTTCTGTTGAAGCCGCTGTTTCCGCGAGTCCAAGAGCTTCCAGTTCAATATTTTGACCATCTCTTCCCTAAGCACAAATTTAAGACTGCACTCTTATTGCTGCTCTATATATCTTGGTTCTTGCCTTGGTTTTTGATTTTATTGCACTCACGCTCTTCCGGTTACATTGAAGGATATGGTCAGCCTCAGACGCTGTCCTGCTCTACGAATTTCTGGTACGTGCTGAAACGGAGCCTCATCCCGGTACAAAATTTGCTAATATCAGTGATTTAGGGAATTTGATAATGGGTGTGGTATTAATGGAAACGACTGCCGTCCATTTTCTTCTTCGACTATTCCCTTCCGGTGTCCTGCAAATTGCCGTGATACCAAATTGCTGGAGCCTCACACTGTGGGAAACCATACCTACAACTACCAAGGCCTAGTCGTTGGAGGACCTAAGCCAGATTCCTCCGACGCGGCACTTTACCGTGCGGATAGCTTTATCTGTCAGGCAGCAATTCATGCCGGTGCAATCTCGAACGATGGGGGCTGCGGTGTTGTCAAACTTGAGGGTGCAGCGCACTCTTTCCCATCAGTTAAGCAACATGGAATTCTATCTGCTGGGTTCCCATCGACCTTCCCGAAGGCTTTCAGCTTCCTCCGGTTATCCTCGTCGCAAGCCAGCTGCCCACCAGATCCACGCTGGACGCTCCTTGGAATCACCGCTGCTGCCGTTGGTGTCCTATGGCTCTTCTGTACATCGCCGCCTGTACTATTTTTCAGTACATTCTTCATGGTGTTCTGCCATACGGGACTTGTTGGAGACCCGCCCTCATATCCTTTCTTGACCGACCTTGTTTCGAGTCTTCTATCAAGGCTACTGCCAGCGTCGTTTGTAATCTACGTACTTTACAAGTTCTGTGCAGCACCGCTTTTGCAGCCACTCTCTTCACCTATCTACCAGTTTTCGAAGGTGCTCCTTTTCCTACCTTCGCTTTTCATTGGAGCTCTGAACAACTATACCTTTGCGCGGCTGATTCCCTTACAACGCCTGACTCCGATGGACATTCAGAAACAACCAGGGGCAAAGCTGGCATTGGCCTTTGTCATCCCAATTGTGATTTCGGTTATTCTGAGCCAGGCGTGGCAAATTCGCCAGGGAGGTCTGCTCCCCCGGTATCTGAAAATATACTGCTCCATGGGGCTCATCATCTTGATTTTGCTTCCCCTCCCTGGTCTTCGCCTTCGAATTCATCATTATATCCTCGCCATTCTCCTCATGCCGGGAACCGCCTTTCCCACTCGACCCTCGCTCATCTACCAGGGTCTGCTGCTGGGTCTTTTCATCAATGGAGTTGCACGGTGGGGCTTCGCTTCGATCATCGAGACTCCGGCAGCTCTAGGAGAGCAAGCGCCACTTGGAGATGGAATCCACGGATGGTGGGGTGCTACCTATCCCAATATCACGACCGCATCCGTGAATATCTCCCTACCGGAGCCGGGATCAGACCACACTTATCGCGGCAATGGTAACATCACCTTCGCTCTGTGGGAACACGAGCGTATGGCAGAGCTAGCAGTGGACGGCATCTCGGTTCTTCTCAACGACGTAGAGCGCTGGCGCGGTTATCTCGATGAGGACAAGAGTGGAGAATTTACCTGGCACCGCCATGGCCACGATGGCCTAGAACTACAGACAAATCCTCGTCTGGTCAATCGTGATTTGGAGACTAACCTTGACACCAACTCGGTTCTTTTGGCTGGTAGTGATTCTGATGATAAACCCGAAGATCTATTTTTCCGATTCGCATTTTTGAGAGGCTCCGAGTCTGGCACTTACAGCCCGACAGGAGTCTGGCTGAGTGATGGCGCGTGGTGGCCCCCTGCGCCTCCCAAGAAATAGATTGCTTTCCCTCTGCATTGGCCATTAGGTTGTTTTCGCGTTTATATCCCACCACTTGGCAAGATAGAATATACACTTTTAGTTCATGTGTGCTGGACGCGCTGTGCTCATTGGAGTAATAGAACAGGGACGGCGTTTGTCGGATCGCTCTCGTTTATGACTGGTTACGTTAAATGAAGATATCAATGGACAAATTATGTTTAAAGATAGGGACAAGAATGACTTCACCCACAAGGGTTTAGACTGCTGTTTTAAAGTAAAATCGCTATGCTTTTATTAATCTGGGTGATAAATCCACTAATCAGACTCCGGAATAAGGCTAATAGGAAGAAGAGCGAGAAACAAACTAAGTACAACCCGCAAGCACTTCTTTCACCACGCGATCGAACAGCAACAAGCAGCGAGCAGCAACTAGCGTTTGTTGATATCGCGATACCGGACCCCCCCCCCCCCCCCCCCCCCGGTAATCCCGCTCATGGCACTACATCGGTTCCATGATATAGTGATGTCATATCCTACGTCTCTACTTTGGAGTGGCAACCCTGTAAAACCATTGCTAGACTATTTTCTCGACATTTCTAACATGTATGAATGTGAGAATGATATGAAGGCGATATGGCAAACCTCAATTTTCCAGTCGAAGGACCGGATTTCCTGACTGATGATACACTCCATGAAGCTTATGAGCTGGAGATTGAATCAGACAAGGGTAATAAAGTTCGATTCGGAGAACTCGTAGCAGGGAAAGGGGATACGATAACAACGATCGTCATTTTTAGTGGGTTTTACGCCATTCGATCAGGTGGGATCAAACTTATTGATCAGATAGCTAACCGACTCAATCCTAGTACGCCACTTCTTCTGCGTCTACGACCAAGACTACATTCGAACTGTAGCTAGCCAAATGACCCAAAAATTACTGGATACAGTACCCGCCAGTGCCCGACCAGCTCAAGTCATCATGCTCGGCTGCGGAGACCACAGCCTCATTTCTTCCTATATGGAAGAGACATCGAACGAATTCCCAATCTACACTGATTCGTCAGGGAGGATATACAAAAAACTACAGATGAAGAGGACAATGCGCGGATTCACAGAGCCACCGCCATATTCTAACTACACATTGCCTACTGGTTTTGTGGAATGTTTAAAGCAGATATGGAAACGTGGATGGGCTGGTCTCCGTGGGGGCAATTGGACTCAGCAGGGTGGTGAGTGGATATTTCAACGGGGAAAACTACGATATGCACATCGGATGGAAGGAGCGCATGATCATCTTACTGCGGAGCAGTTGCTGGAGATCTTGAATGTGGCATATGGTGAAGGTGATGATTCACCCTCTACCAGGGAGGGAGGGGAAAACACCGATGGAGAAGTGCAGGGAACAAATTGTGAGAGCCGAGGGCTAGGCACGGAATACATATATTTCAGACCTTAGCATTTCACGATGCCTTACATTGATGTATTTCATGATCTATGGTCTAAGATCTATAGTATCTCCAAATGCATAAGCAATCTAAGTATTTTAGCAGTTACATTTATTTTACCTTTTCATCACACATCCATAGTTCCCAGTATCAGTACAGACCCTTTGTTCAACATAAACTAGATAACTGGTAAGCCTCTAATTCCTAACGTCTCTTTAGACTATTGGTTCGTACTTTAGCACCCGCGATAAGCGGTAGCGTATATATTAACTAGCACACTATCTGCTGGTCGATATTAACCTAAGATTCAATAACTATATTTTCACCTGCGTGTACTATATCTGCCTTCCCCGATGTCGTATCTTAACGAAAAAGTTACGAACACGTGATCGTAATAGCGCTAGCCAAGGCAGCCATCCGAGCCCGAGCTCAGAATTTGAAGCTTCAAATGTTCATTCGTGCTTTAATTTTAGCCACTTCCATGTTACGCTATACGCGATATCTTGAGATCCATGGACCCCGAGGAATCCAATGAGAGACGCGAGGTGACAAGCGCGTTGATCCGACGCGCAGTAGGTGCTCCACCGAATAAGTTACAAGCTTAAAAAAGAAAAGAAAAATACAGATTTGGCAATCAAATATTAATTATACACACAGTGTGATCAATGTCGCCTGAGAAAGGTACGCAGCTGCAGCTCCGAGTGACACGATGTCATGACTCAATCTCACGCTGTCACAGATCCGATGCGATAAGCGCACGCCATGTTCCAACTGTCGCAGCTCTAGCATTGCATGCCGATCTACCGGTGAAGGCCAGAAGCCGCCAGAGCCCCGGCGGCGAGTTTTAATCTCAAATCAATAGTATGGACATTTTCTCCTACCATAGGTCACCATTGACTCGACCACAGTGAGAAAAAGATCGATTTGATCGAGGAACGCCTGGCAAGCATTGAAAGTACTCTTCGACAGCTAGCGAAAAATACATCTCAACTACAAGGCTTCACAGCGCCAAACTCGCGCGAGTCCCATTTCACCCCTTCGCCTCAGAACTCAACCCCTTCGCAGCCGTCACTCACTACACGGAGCCATGTAAAGCCCAAGGGGCCTTTGTATCGGGCGAATCCTACCATCGAGCAGCACGATTCCAGCTCTAGCTTTGAGGGCAGCTCATCCTTGACTGCCCATGGGGCCTACGCGAGCGCGTTCCTGGAATCTGCTGTGTCCAAAAGTTCGCCGCAGGTCTTGTCCAGTCCGAAGATCAATGCGGCTCTCTCGTCGCTGAAACAGCTTGTCGGGATCCAGAACCAACGGCGAGAAGTGGACTTGCAGGGAAGTCAGCCCACCAAGAATGCGAGGTTAGGTGTGAGACGCGACATTCGTGATCTAGAGATGCCACCTCTACCAGTCGTCCTCGACGTCTTGAGAAAGATTCAAGGTACGATTCATTTCATATAGATGTCTTCAGCTTCCTATTCTCACTCATTCAGAATCAACACCGGCCTGCTTTGGCGGCTATTTCCCCTTCCTAAGTGTGAAATATTTCACCGAAAAATGCCGTGAAGTTTACTTCTGCATAGAGGATTACTCCGATGCGGCATTTGTCATCACCAACTTTTGTCTCTACACCATTTTCTACGAATATGGCAGTACGGAAAAGGAAGACTCTGTGCGGGAAGAGCTCCAGCACTACATTGAGATGTGTCGCGACAACCTGGAGGCAGCGCTTGCCAATTTGAATATCCTGATGCCTGCAACCCATGAATCGATCATGGCGTTAGCTGTAGGAGTTAGTCCCTGATTTCTATCTTGCTTTCTTTTAGATTTACCCCATCCGGAATCGTGACTGACAAACACAGGCTATGCATGCACTCGAGATTGCCAAACCATCAGTTGGTTGGACGCTAGCATCAACAGCCATGAATCTGTGCCAGACACTCGGATATCATCGCCTGATCTCAATGGAGCATGATCCTCTACCAGTCCAACGCCAAAAACAGCTTCTATTCTGGTCTGTCTACACAATTTTGAATATGATGTCCCTACGTCTAGGACGTGCCTCGCCAGTCCAAAATTACGATATCAGCCTACCAACACTCGATGAGAACGCAAATGTCGCCTATCCGTGGGGGCCCGTCTGCATGTGGTGGACTAAATTGGCAACTATCCAAAGTGAGGTTTACCAATACTTGTATAGCCCAGAGGCACTACAGAAGCTAGAAAGTGAACGGGTCACACATGCACACAGATTAGCTGCTGAGATGAAATCGAAAGTTATGGAGCCGTTTGAGGTTAGCTCTCCTGTCACTTTTGGAGATGTGATTGAGTCGAGTTGCTAACGTGAAACATGTAGAAATTCATGTCGTCCGATCTCAAAGTATCCGAGGTCGACCTCATGTATCTCACAACTGACAAGGTCAGTCGACTGGCCATCATGACTTTGATCTACCGAGCAATTCCAGCATCAACAGACTCGGGCACTGGCGCCGCTTTCATACCCGAATGCATCGAGACAGCCCGGGAAGCCCTGGAAGTCCACCGACAATGCGTTGCAGCGCTTAACGAGACAGACTATTTCACGAAAATATCCTACACGCACTGGTAAGCATTCCGAAACATCCTTAACAATAGCGCCATCTTTGATGCAATGATGATCCAACCTCGGACGAAGGAATTCTCACAAAAGAAATATAGGGGCATCCTCCTATCCCCGTTCGTCCCCTTCATCATAATATTCTGCAACATAATAACAACGTCCAACGCCGACGACCTCTCCCTACTCGAAGATTTCATCGCCTCCCTCCAACCCCTATGTGCCTTCTCCCAATCCATCGATCGACTGCACACCCTGTGCTCAGTGCTTGGCACCGTCGCCCGTCTTTACTACGAAGCCAATACCCGGGCCCAGCAAACTACAGATGAAGACCAAGATTTTGTCCAGGTCGGACAAGAATTCGATGTTTATCTCAGTGCGCTCGGTCTGGCTCCTCCAAACCCTATAAATCCTCCGAACAGCGGCAATTACCCGATAGGAAACTCCCAGGGGTATTTCCAGGCACACAATCCTGCTATGCATGTTAGTCCAGCGGAATTGTCGCAGCAGCACGTTGGTGGATTCTCGGCGCCGCTCGATTCATCTCAAGTACAGGTACAGGGTTCGGGGACTGCTGTGCAACTGGGGAATTGGTTCTGGGGAAATCAGTATATGATGGGGCTTTTGGAGGAGGATTTGTCGCAGTTTAATCCGGAATGATCGGTGAAGAGACTAGCAAGTGGTCATAGGCTATACACATCTCGCCCACTATTAATTAGTCTTATTTCTTCCAAAATATCGAGCTGGTCTGATTGCTAATATGAATCTCAACTCCTACTTCTGTAATATCAAATGTGCTCCCATATGAGCTCTTTATAGGTTTATCGATTCTTTTCACATTTCTGCTCAAGCATTAACGGCTTATAATCCAAGGTGGTAAACCTCCGAAATTTCCAATCGGATTATGATTGTTCTGGCAATAAATCCCGCACCCCCTTGTTGAGCAGCATATTCGCGACCGAGATGCCGAGTCTTTCCGCTTCCTCATCGCATTGGACAGTGCCCACATCCTCAGAAGAAATCTCCGACAATCCTTCTATGTGGATAACCGTAGCTCGCAGACGAAGGATGCCGCTATCAGAGCCTTGATTGTCGTCTACCGGATCATTTTCTTTCGGCTCAAAAGAAGACCAAACACCAATTGAGGAAGAACATCCGCCTTGGAGACTTCGAAGCATCGCCCTCTCTGCCATGCCGCGCCATCTCGACGGCTTATGGTCGACATGCTGGACAAGCTGCAGGATGTCTTGGCGGTCTATGTCTGTGCTAACCTCGATACCGAGTGCGCCTTGTCCAACCGCATAAGGGAATATTGTAGGTTCAAGTCGTTGCGTTATTCGATGACCGAGTCCTAGGCGTAATAGTCCCGCGGTTGCCAAGAGAATACATGAAAAGGGCGAAGAAGGTGCATCAAGCTTAGCCAGGCGAGTATCTCTAATATGCGTACATATTAGATTGAGACTATGCTGATATATGTAGAAAGTAGTAGTACGAGGAGGGTTGATTGATACTTACAAGTTGCCACGACATTCTGCTACCTCTAAATGAGGCCAATTTCGCCGAACTAGAGCTCTTCTTCTTGAAGAGCTGGATCCAACTATCGAGCCAGGTGGTAACTGATCGATGGATGTGAAATCCGAGTCGGATCTCATTACGACGGCATCGGAACAATCCTCACGTTCAGGCACAGCTGCAAGAAGACATTTCGGTGGCAGCGTCGTCGGCATGTCCTTTAAACAATGGATAAGAACTTGGACCTTGCCAGCCACCAAATCCTTTTCAAGGCCATTTGTCCACAGGCTTTTGCCAATGTCTGATCCACCGGTCTGCTTAGAGAGGAGTGCAAAGGGGGTCTGCTTATCTGCATCACCAGCGACACTGGCTGTGGCGATTTCAAAGGTCGGGGAGGGGTCGATTGTTTGGCTCAGTGCGGATATGATGGATCGAGCTTGAGTGAGTGCGAGTTCCGACTTACGGCAGCCAACAATAACCGTAGAACGAGATGAGATATCTTCCATCTCATGCGGCTTAGAGCCGTTTGGGGTAAGGCTCATGGTGCAAAAATGGCAGAAACTGTTTCTTCGATAAATTGCAACATATTTTTCCTTCTAGAACACGTGACGTAAGACATCCCTGTACTTTTGTAATATCGAGCTCGTATACAAATTAGTGTACACCAAAAAATTGGAGTCCGCCAATCCTCCGAGATCGCCGTGGAGATGGTTGGAAGTCTTAAATAGGCATTGACCAATGAGCATGGCTGTACGTAATGCAATCGGGGTCAATTGGAGTCTTCCGCTTCTTCGGTCAAAAGAGTCAATCATTGATCTCCATATACTTGACATGTTTTAAACCTTCTAACGGGGTGAGAGCTATTTTCTAACCCTTGGAGAAAAATTCCGACATCAGTTCTTTACATCTGCCCAACAGTCCCTAGTATTATCGTGGCTCAAGACCGTGAATGCCCTGACGAATCCATGCCTTGATTCGATATCAATTGACCTTATTGAAAACACGACCGCAATCGCAATCAAACGACACGAACAATAAAAAAATTTACCCCATCACCATGATATCCGCCAGCCTGAACCCTGGTCTGAAGACAGTCAACGCCAAAATGGTCATCCCAGAGCTGGAAGCAGCCGAAGCTGAAACGCCCGCCCAAGAGTCACGCGTCCTAATCATCATGACCGGTGGCACAATCTGCATGCAACCCTCACCAGCCGGCTTCATCCCAGCGCGGGGGTTCCAAGAAAAGTGCATGGCGCCAGTCCCAACCTTTAACGACGGCTCCGCCAGCGCAACGATGGACGTGGTCGTCAACGCGGCACACGACATGAAAGAACACCCAAGCCTACGCACACCGATGACGGCCTATGGGCGACAGGTGCGGTACACGGTTTTTGAGTTCGAAGAACTGCTCGACAGCAGCTCCATTGACGCAAGGGGCTGGACCCAGATCGCCGAGGCGATCGAGCGGAATTACACGCTCTTTGATGGATTCGTTGTCCTGCACGGCACGGACAGTCTGGCGTATACATGTTCGGCGCTCAGCTTTATGCTGCAGAATCTCGGGAAGCCGGTTGTTCTTACTGGGTCGCAGGCGCCTATGCTTGAGCTCCAAAACGATGCTACGCATAATTTGCTTGGGTCGTTGGTTGTTGCGGGGCATTTTATGATTCCCGAGGTGTGTTTGTATTTTAATAATCGGTTGTTCCGGGGAAACCGGACGACGAAGGTTGCGGCGAGTGATTTTGCCGCGTTCGATGCGCCGAATTGTGCTCCGTTGGCCGTTACGAATTCTATGCGGACCAATGTCAATTGGGATGCGGTGCACCGTCCTACGAGCTTGGAGCCGTTTAGTATTCAGACGAATCTGGATACTACCCATGTTGCTTGTCTGCGGATCTTCCCTGGTATCAAGCCGGAGATGGTGGATGCGGTGCTGAAGCTGGATGGCTTGCGCGGGTTGATTCTGGAGACTTTTGGCGCAGGTAATGCGCCCTCTGGCCAGGATAATGCCATGATCAACGTCCTGGCCAACGCTATCCAGCGGGGGATTGTTATCGTGAACGTCACGCAATGTAAGTCCTGCCCAGTGTCTTTGGCAGAAATGGGATACTGATATATCTTCTAGGTCTCACGGGCAGCGTCAGTCCAGTCTATGCCACAGGCATGAGTCTCTCCCGAGCAGGGGTCGTAGCTGGTCTCGACATGACAACCGAGGGCGCATTGACGAAACTTGCCTATCTCCTCGCACTACCAGAAAACACCCCGGAATCCATCGCCAAACGCATGTCAGTCTCTATCCGAGGTGAGCTCACCGAGTCATCATTACCTATCTTCCGACACCCGGATGGCGGACTCCCCGATCGCATCCAGACACTCACAGCAATGGGCTATGCCATTGCCCTCGGCGACCTGGAGAAGGTCCAAGCCATCACCAATACAGAACACCACTGGCTCCTGAACGACGCCGACTATTCCGGCAATACGCCCATCGTAAGCAATCCCTTTCCATCTCAGCCCGTCCTCGCAATTTCCCCCTCGTCCCCTGTCCCCTGTCCCTTGTCTCACCTCCCTATCTCTGGCATCCCTTATCTTGCACCACTAACCCAAACCCAGCATCTGGCCGCAACATCCCCGTCCCTACAAATCCTGCACTTCCTCCTATCGCAAGGCGGCTCGGTGCATCTCCGCAATCGTGCCGGCCGCACCCCGCTCTTCTTGGCCGCGAACGCGGGCCTCTCGGAGCACACGCTCCTCCTCCGCAAATCCGGCGCTCATCTACATTCGGACGAGCGACCTGCCGCCGAACTCCTGGCGCGTCATCGTCCTTTCGTGTGGGGGATGGCTGGAGTTGGGCCGAAAGAGATAAGCCAGCGGGAGATGGATGAGGAGTGGGAATGGGATGCTGGGAAGAATCGGATGATTCCTGGGTCGGCGCCTTAGATCGGGTGTTTTCGTGGAAGTTCGGGGTTTAAGCTCAGACTACTGCCCGGACTGTATTAGGGGGGGGGGGGGGGGGGGTTGTATGCATGCTTTTCCTTACTTAGGATGGTTTTTTATACTTATACGTGGCGATATTCTGGGGGCATTGGCCTCATGGGTAAGCCGGTGTCCTTCGGGGAATTTTCTTTCAGCCTACGCTTTGAATGTTAGAATAATATAGAATAATATAGAATAACATTGAATAATATCGAATAATATCGAGATATTCTGACACCATTTAGGGTCCGAACTCGCACTCCATTTCAGGCTAGTCCTCTACTTCTACTTTTAGTGGCACCATCATCGTAATATGGAATTTCATCCGCGGAGATCAGCCCCTGCCGTAGCCGGGATTGAGCCAAGTGGGGAAGATAAGGATTTTTTTTTTTTTTTTTTTGCATTTCTTTTTCTTTTTTTCCGGGGTTTGATGTTGTATACATTACTGCCAAGGTCGAGTATATTATTGAGGTTCTAGATTATATAAGAGGTGAAGGGGGTTACTCCAAGTTTCATGGTGGGGTTTATCTGCATGCTTTTGCTTTTTCTGCTTCTGCCTCTTTGCTTTTTCTATACTAAGTACTTACATGTATGAGACCATCATCTCATAGATAATCCCCATAGATCGCGAAAATAATCTCATTTGTGGCTCATGCAGCAGGGAATGATGTGATCCTGTTCTGGGTTTTGCGGGGGTTCAGGCACACACTAAAATTCCTGCGAAAAAAAAAAAGTTCACAAGGTACCCGGCCATTGGACGTATCGGGTGAAATGGCAAGTCCTGACGAGGTAGCACGTCAACTTATGCCAAGGCCCAAACGCCGCCATTGGAGCAATAGCCCCCATTCTAGAGCAGATATACGATACACACCACGTGAGACTGTTCCTGGCAGATAGTTGGTGGAACGGGTTATGAAGTCACCTGCGCGATTTAGTTTCTTCTCTCGTACATACTGGGATATCGGGAGTGGTTCCGCTATGGGTATGTCAAGGCTTGGCATGGATGTATAGATCTATGTAGAGGGGTGTGTATATATAGTAGATAGGATATATAACGTGAAATGATTCTATACAATGACACCAGAACTAAAAGAGAGACCGAGCCTACAAGTTCCCGAATTCAGGATCTTCCCGTGCTGCCGAAATTGCCAGCCGATTTACGTAAAAACCAGAGGACGAGACCGCACTGTGGATTTTTCCTTTTTTTTTTTTTTCTTTTCCTTGCTAATATTTGTTATAGAATTTGTTATATTTAGGGGAAATATCACTCATAGTAGAGGGGGATTATAATGTAAAGTGTCTGTATAGACAAGACTCTCTTATCTTATCCTTTGCGTCTCTCCGCGTTTTCGAAATTTGAATGCAATTTTCGTTTTTTATTAAAGTGCAGATCAGAAGGTCAATTTGGAGACCAATCGCATAATTTAGGTCTGATCGCGATTCTCGCATACTTTCCAACCTCTACCCCACCATCGCAAACCCTTCTCGCCAAGGCTTACTCCGGATTTCTCTTTTATCTTTCCTTCTGCCCTCTTGAATCTACTTCTTCTCTATACTTCCCCTACACCTTCCCCAAGGCCCCCCACCAATCAACCCGGATGACACAACCCCAGAAGACCATTGCCGTGGTCAACGCGACAGGCCGGCAAGCGGCCTCACTGATCCGCGTCGCGTCCGCCGTGGGGTACTCAGTGCGCGCGCAAATCCATTCCCTCAAAGGCGTGATCGCACCAGAACTCCAACAACTCCCCAATGTGACCCTCCTGCAAGGCCCGCTCCTCGGCAACATCGCCCTGATGGACGAGCTTTTCAAAGGCGCCCAACTAGCCTTCATCAACACCACCTCCCAGTCCGGCGACGAGGTAGCCATCGGCCGCGATTTAGCAGATGCCGCAAAACGCTCAGGCTCAATCCAGCACTACATCTATAGCAGTATGCCGGATCATTCCGTTCACGGTCCATGGCCTGCTGTCCCGCAGTGGGCTCCCAAATTCACTGTCGAGAACTACATCCGTCAGCTCGGTATGCCGGCTACCTTTGTCTATGCCGGTATCTACAATAATAACTTCACGAGCTTGCCGTACCCGCTCTTCCAGATGGAGCTTCTGGAAGATGGGAGCTTTGAGTGGCGTGCGCCGTTCGATCCCGAAATCCCGTTGCCATGGCTTGATGCTGAACATGATGTTGGACCGACTCTGCTGCAGATTTTCAAGGATGGAACGAAGAAATGGAATGGTCATCGGTGAGTACAAGAGAAATCCCCCCCCCACCCCCAATTCCGAAATCGGACGCGGGCTTCTTTCCAGGGTTGCGGATTCCCGTCGGGAGTCCGTTAGAAGACAGCCAAGCGAGAAACAAGAAACAAGGGAAAAAAAAAGAAAGAAAAGAAATTAGCTAACACACCGCTTCTCATGTAGTATTGCTCTCACCTTCGAAACACTCTCCCCGCTACAGGTGTGTGCTGCGTTCTCCCGTGCCCTGGATCGTCCATGTCGGTACGTCCGCTCGCCCAAGATCGAAATCAAGGTCAACATCCCGCCGGGATATCGAGAACAGCTCGAGGCTTTGGAGGAGCTGTTTGGGAGATGTGGTGCCCCGTACTTCCCACAGCCGGAGTTCTCACAGCCTGCAGCGGGTTCACCAAAGGGTCTTGGACCCGCGGGTGGAAAGGGTGCCGGTGCAGGTATGATGCAAGGACCTGGCGGTGTTGTCTCGCTGCGGGTGACAGACGAGGCTCGACATCTGTGGCAGGGCTGGCGCGATATGGAAGAGTATGCGCGTGAGGTGTTCCCTGTGGAAGAAGAGGCTAACGGGCTTGACTGGATGGTTTGAGACTGTTTTATGTTTTACGCTTTTGTAGCTCTAGCCTTGCTTCTTTTTTCTTTTCTTATGACAGTACGATCTGGGCAGAGATGTGCATGGTGATGTGTTCTGTGCATGTCGAGCCCTTGCTGTTTTGTTTTTAATCATTGCATTCTTGGCGAACGGGCATGGGATATATGGACTTTCATGACTTAACCTCGGTTCTTAATCGGAAGATGCTTGGGGTAGCATTGGACGAGGATTCATTTTGCTTTGCTGGTTTGGATTGGATTTGATATCTGACCGGACCACAAAAAAAGTTGTGTTTTTGCTTTACCTTTCAATATTGCTGTTTCTTTTTGTTTTTTACTTCGGTTCAATGAACCTCATCCTCAACCCCAAGCTTCGAAGAAGAAAAAACAAAATATGGAATAAGATATCCCGACTCTGGTTACTGGCCAGAACTATTTACTCCAACGCGAATATGCCCTTCCAATTTCCACTTTTCTCTTTTCACTTTCATTTCCACATCCTAGCAACTTGCCACACCCTAGGAACCCCGACTTCAGATCCCGGACCCCATCCGACTCTTTTTCGTCTCCCTAATCAGCTCACACAACGTGCCTCGTGTGTCCGCTGACCCCAATTGACCAGTCCTGCAGGTCCCGTGCGTCAACATTCAAGGTTTACACGCTCGCGCAGACCGCTCCTCTTATCTAGAGTGCATGAACAAATCAGATGGAAGTCCACAAACTCGGACCTCAGCAGAAATAAGTTGAAAGAGGGGGTTTGCAAACATATAAGCATACCTAGGCAAGCGCTGGGGTGAATATCTCGATATAATTATGCGTAGACACCCCTTACTTCCGTGGTGGACTCTATTCGACAGTCCTAAAGGATGAATCGCCGTTAAAATAAAGTATTCTTTCTAGTTTGTATTTCATAGTTGCTTTTTCTTTTATCTTTGGTCTCCGCTTCGTTCTAATCGGAGGGGTTGACCTCGATGGGAGGCTGTTGGTTCTGTGGCTATATGGTTGTGGCTGTGCGTGTTTATAATGTTACAACATAGGGTACACTCTGTACAAGGTAGGGTATGGTTATGTCCTGGTCAATATAGCCCTAGGTGATCCATGGCATTTTACCTAACAACTTATACTAGATAGTACTGATTGGTGGAGTATGCATTGAGGCTCCATTTGGAAGTCTTTACAGACATACGGGGAGCTTTGGTGTCCAGCTGCATATCTCAAATCAAGTCAAGAGATTGAGTGAAGACGATTAAATAACTCTTATAGATTCGCAGTTGACATTGTGTGGACATTGAACTATCTTTTGTACCATGAGCTATTCCTACCCCTCCATCACCCCTCCACGAATAACAACCAGAACGTTCTATAAAAAGTACTCCATTGGACAGAGATCCACAAGATCAGCGTCAGAGTTTTCTGAATATTTTGGCCTTATGATGTAGCACTGACACCTGAGGCCATTACCCAGGTAACCCCCCACCATTGAAGTGGACAACGGGGGTACACGAAAATACCTTGGTTCTCCGCTGTGGTACCATGGAACAAGAAGTACCACCAAGTATCATCGAGTAGCTTCTTAGCTCTTCTCCATCCCATAGCTTTTTTTTTTTTTTTTTCCCGTCCCTGAATTCCAGCCTGAATTGTCTTATTGTCTTCTCCCCTCTTCTCAATTCCTCCCTTCTATTTAAACCACTCAAGTCTGCGTGTTCTGCATTTTTATTTACGACTCTTTCACGAAAAAAAAATACATACCCATCATGTCTAACGATCAGTCCCTCCTTGACCGCGTCGAGATGCCTAGCATCCCCGAGGTTGCTATGAAGAAGATTGCTGTTCTTGAGGAGCAGTTCTCTCGCGCTGAGGTTGAGCAATGTATGTTTTCTGATGATTTCCTACTTCTTTTTCTTTTGTGATGGTGGGGCAAGCAAAACAGCTGGCAGAATCTACTATGAGAAACACCATCAATTGAAAAGCACAGATGAACACATTGCTAACAAACATAATCTACAGTGCGCCACTCTGTCAAGCTCATGGCCCCTTTGATCCAGAAGCGCAGCGAGATCATCAACATCCCCGAGGTGCAGGCTGAATTCTGGATGCGCGTGTTCGCCAGTGCCCCCGCCGAGATCGACGAGTACATTCTGTCCCGTGATGCCCAAGTTCTCGGCGAATGCCTCAAGACCCTGAACGTTGAGCGATTCGAGCTTGATGCCCAAGGCAACGGCGAGCCCCGCAGCTTGCGTTTCACCTTTGAGTTCAAGACCGGCGAGGAGAACCCCTTCTTCACCAACGAGAAGCTCGTCAAGGAGTTCTACTGGCGCCAGGAGGTCTCCAAGAACGCCGCTGGCAAGACCCGCACCTGGGAGGGTCTCGTTTCCGAGCCCGTCCGCATTAACTGGAAGAAGGATATGGATTTGACCAAGGGCATGCTAGATGCTGCCTGCGACCTTGCTGATGCCGAGAAGAAGAATGGCGGTGACCGTAAGAAGTTGCCCGAGTTCGCTGCTCTCGTTAAGAAGGTTGAGGAGGCCGAGGCTGAGGCCGAGGCTGCCAACGCCGAGGATGATGAGGATGAGGAGAACCCCAGCCCCGTCGGCATGAGCTTCTTCGGACTCTTCGGATACCGCGGCCGTGATGTCTCTGCTGCTCAGTCCAAGGAGGCTGCCAAGGAGATCGAGGCTCGCTGGGCCAAGATCCAGAAGGGCGAGGAGATCGATGAGGCTGGCGACTCTGACTCCGATGATGAGGATGATGACTCCGAGGGTCTTGAGGAAATCGATATCTTCCCCGATGGAGATGACCTGGCTGTTGCCATTGCCGAGGACCTCTGGCCCGATGCCCTCAGCTACTACGGTATGTAGATCCGATATGGCGAGTGAGACGTTTCCGCTAACTTTGACCGCAGTTCAATCCTTCCAGATGGGCGACGAGTTCGAAGATATGGACCTCGATATGGAGGAATTGGACGGAGAGGACTCCGATGAAGATAGTGAGTCGCGCCCGCGCAAGAAGGCTCGCAACTAAACCATTTGCACCCGAAACGCCATGACCCCCCTTTTGATGATTTTTTGCTTTTTCCTAACCACTTGTTTTTTGTAATATCACAGTGCAATAAGGAGGATTAATAATAAGACGAGGACGAAGATGAGTGCCGCGATACAAAACGAGGACCATGTATCTAGTCAGAAAAGTTAGTTCGAACTTGAGATTCCCATACCATGCCAAACCATCCCAGTAAAGATCCAGCATAGAAGTTAGGCCAAAAAAAGGGAGGTCTCTTACCCTCATTCTTGCGTACAATATGTTTGATACGCGACATCCCATTCGCCAACTTCCCCCCAACCCGATCCGCCAGCGTATCAACCTCATCAATCATGACAGCCTGATCCTCCAACTCACGACCCATATCATCAGCTTGCTGGCGCAGATTTCCAACAGTGCGAAAAACACCATCAAGCTGCTCATCCTGCTCATGCATAAGCTCATACTGTCTCTGCTGCTCCATAGAAGCATAATAATCCGCCCCGCCACGTCCGCGCTCCTCCTCCTCCTCCAGCGCCGCATCAAACTCTGTAGGATTCGGCAGTGTGTCGACAGTGGAATTGGAAACAGCCTGCTGCAGCTCCTGGTGCATTTTCTCGACCTCATCACCGACATCATCGACGAGCTTGCGCCGCCGCTGCACCTCCTCTAGTTCCAGTCCATAGCGGTAGGGGTCTTGTTCGATTGCGCGGACGCTTTCGACGAGGTCGTTGAGGTCAGCTGTTAGCTCTGTTAAGGTGGTTTCGAGCTCGGAGCGCGATTGCTTGAGTTCTGGGTTGTTGGGGCTTTTGGCTAGCGACCGAATGCGGAGGTATGAGGAGAAGAGTGGTCGGCTGGTTTGTAGTGTTGAGACGACGTCGCTGATAGGTTGGTTAGTTGGGATTTTGTGCTTTGGGGTTGGTGTAGAGCTCACGCTTGGACTTGTAGGAAGGGATCTGCGTGCTCCATGGTTGCGTTATGGGGTATTGGGGGTGTGTTGTTGATAGTTCTCGGTCCCGAGTTGGTCCACGGGTGAGTCTGGAGCGGAGGCGGGTGTTGCTGACTGATGGGTACGAGTGGGGGTTTGGGACAACCGCGCAGTTTTGGCCTGAGGAAAAACAGTTCTGCCTTGAAATGAACTCCACCTTCACTTAGTTAACTAGCACTTCAGGGATTTGTATATCTCGATGGGTCTCATATAGTGAAGTTGAGGGTACTACTGACCAACTGCTCCGGTAGAACTCGGGAGGCTGCCCTTTCATTCCGTTTCTTGACCAGTTGTACTGAGGACACGGAAGATCCGGCGTCTACTCTATGGTTTGGTTCTATCGGATTGACGTTAGTGGTGGAATTTCCGCTTCCGTCTATATCGCCAAGGGCAATAAAATTATATGGACTGGATGGGATGCCGATAAGATTATTGTGAGACCGTATCATTTTTTGGAGACTCCACATACCCATGACAACCGGCAGTAGACCGGCACTAGAAACTGTCCCTGCCATACCGTTATTTGCCCAGGGGGAGGGCACGGAATTGGATTCAAAGGTAGTAGTTGACTTCTTGGCGAGCAGAATTGCGGCTTGTGAGGCGATCATGAAGCATTGGGCTTCCTGAAATTCAACGAGAACTACCTTTGTAATGCGATCGTGGTGGTTGAAAAAACACCGGATTTTGGGGGTGGTGAGTTAAACTACATCTGTACTTCTCAAATCGTTGACCTTGTTCAAATGGGAAATTGATTTATTTTCTAATGCATGGTCCATATTTCATATTCAGTGAAGCAGTGAATTTCGGAAGGTCTATATCTGAAGCATCCTCTAAAAATCAACTTCATAACAAAATAACACAAATATATAAGCTTTGCATACACATATGGCGTGCCCGTACAGTTATATCGCCCGAGTCATGTAGATCCTATGATAATTAGGGTAAAGTACTGCATATCGACGCGGGAGTATCTATAAATATATTATTGAGTACAGTATGTCTTGGCAACCAGGGTTCAAGAAAGAAGGAAGAGCAAGTTGATATCCAACATAAAGCTCCTCACCTAGGATAATAATTCAACCCAGGCAAAACGGTGATAGATGACTTTATTGGGTTTAATCTAACAAAGTCTTCGAAGAGTGTGTTAACGCCCTGGGAGTTTAGCCTAAGAGCAAGAACGGCACCCGGCTACGACGGGTCTTGACGAGACTCCACGTTCAGTTTTAGATGGTGGAATACTCTGGATCTGAGTAAATTGATATATCTAATTTGGCCACCTGCATGTCGCTCAGCGATGTGTTGAGGTAAATAATCTCACAACTACCCATAGACTTGTGGGTTTAGAACAGGGTCACCAATCTAGCCCCAGGCGGAAATCGCAGCCCTCGCAGCCCGACGCGGCAGTGTTTCCGTCAATATGACTAAGTTGCCAAGGGCAGAAACTACGTAAGTTAACCCTTGTATGATATGCAAAGAAAAAATAGATATTGGACAAATTTTATACTGCAAGCTTGGCGAATGAGGCGATCGCAATAATTATCAAGAGCAACGCCGATATTCTCAGAGATGAACACCATAAAGCTTGTTTGCTGCTTGAACTGTTTATAAGCAAGTGTACTTCAATTCCCACGGCATTCTCCAGTCAGTTTCCATAGCTTTGATCTAGTCATCATTCCTTTTTCGGACTTCGAATGTCGGTGAAGTAGGTCGGCTTAGAAAAGCAGGCCTCTGTCATCTTCATAAGATAGGCTGCATTGGATGAATGAAGCATATCAGCAAGCGTATTATCGATTCTCGCTTCGCAAATAGGGCCAGTGCCACGGTGTGCCCAACAACAACTGCAATTTATAGTACAATAGCCAATGCCCTTTGCTCTCTGGGTCGTCCAATGGAAGCTTTGGCAACAGCCACAGCTCCGAGTGCGGCAACCTCCTCTCTCGGCACAGTGTTTGTCTAGCTCTGGGCGAAAATACCACGTTCGATGCTCTCCGAGGGAGTCATACATTTGCTTCAAGGGGTTGTGGGGAAGAAATGTTTCGCGTCTGTGTAGAGTTGGTGCTGTTGAATGGATATATCTTTTTGAAGGGCTTATATATCTTCCTCCCATACCCGTCTACACTTTTGAGTTATTCTCTGGGGTGGATACTGGCCGTCCAAGCGTCTTTCGATGCTGTCCTGGCGCTAAACGAGTACCCGCAGAGTCATCTCGGCGACTATGACCTTAACAAATATATCGTAATAATGTTCAACTGTTTGATAGCTAATAGTATAATTCCATCCGTCTTTGGCGTAGTTCTCCACGGGCTTGAAATTACCCTCAAACTTTCGCAAAGATACAAGACATTATGATTTGAGGTCTTTCCAGCGCAGTTCGGGAAAGGGTTAATTGTCCCAGTTGAAGCCCTAGGCCGTAGTTGCCTGACGCAGCCAGTGACATCTCTATGGCTCCATGGGTTTCTTCCTTATAATAAACTTCTCTGGGATATAAAAATCAGTTAGCATCCACAGTCCAGCATGTACATTGTATGTACATTAAAGCTTCTCCCTTGATATATCGAATGTAGCGGCAGAGAATTCCATCACAAGCCCATGTGGCTCAGTGGTTGCCTTCGTGGTCTAGTTGGTCATGACGTCGGTCTCATATCCTTCCGACCTTGGTAACAAGGTTTCATATGACATTCTTGGTAACAAGATTGACATCCGAAGGTCTCCAGTTCGAACCTGGACGAGGGCATTTCTTTTTTGTCGGGTAGAAAGAATTTCAGGCCGAATAGCGGGGACTATCTTTTCTATTTTCTCTGGGCACAGGTTCGATTCCCGTTGCTGGAAAATTACAAACTCCCCCAGGCATAACGAGTGAATTTATAACGTGGTGTTATCCATCTTTGGGCCTCCATGTAGTATGCCCAAAAACCCTTTGGGGTCAAACTACGCTGAAATTCATTCCTATAATCGGTCCTTTCTGTTATTGACCTCAAGATACCAATGTACTCTCTAATTCAATAAGAGGCAACAGCAAAGAAATGAGAGACTCAAATATAATTGATCATCTCAATGATAGTCGGACGCCGTTCAGCATATTTGAGATTGCATCCTTCGTGGATGGGGACTATTATTGGGATTAGAGTATTTTGGGTGTGTAGATGTATGACAAGACAAAAAAGGCTACATTTTCATTCCATTTGTAGCTTATTCGAATGGTTGTCTATACGCTTTCTGATTTGAATCGGTCTCTTTTGATATCGACGATTATGCCATATTAACTGAAAACATCACGCTAGTAGGCATTTCTTTGGCTAAATACACCTGATTGAATAGAACTGAAGGCAAGAGGAAGAGATGGGACAAGTGGAGATGACCAAACACAGGGATGACGGGAGGGTATCATGGAATATTAAAACTTAGGTCATCAACTCCTTGAATTTTCCGGCAACTCGGGGATAGGAGTAGAATTATCTTTGTAGCCAGGTAGCTCTGACACATAATGTTGACCGTCCAACTCGCTTGTCCTGGTCGAAGGGCTGCCTAACTCGCTCGGGTTTTGCGAGGTCTGGACAGCTTGGTATTGACTCATCGATGCTTCGGTGACAGGTGTGGGATATTGATGTGGTTGCTTCTGTCGGCGACGACGCATGAAATACCAAAGCAAGGCCAGAATGATTGCTAACCCAGCAATACCACCAACCACACCACCTGCGATAGCGCCAGTATTTGAGCTAGAAGAGCTACTGGACGTCGGGGAGCTGCTTGATGTTGCGGAGCTGTTCAATGCCGCAGAGCTGCTCGATGTTGTGGAACCGCTCGATGTTGTGGAACCGCTCGATGTCGTGGAACCGCTCGATGTTGCGGAGCTACTTGATGTTGCGGAGCTACCTGATGTTGGGGAACCGTCCGAGGTTATGGAGCTGCTCAATGTTGTGGAGGTGCTTGGTATTGAGGAGCTGCTGGATGTTGCGTTTGGGGCTAGTTATATCAGATCTGAGCTCATGTCGAGTAGGCAGGATTTGAATCTTACCATGTGAAACTAGAGGGAGCCACACCACCTCACCGGAATATGTAGGATCATCTTTCACCGCACACCCAACCGAACCATTCAAATTGAACCCGCCTAGACCCTGATCACAACAGAAAAGTCCGTCATCATCGTTTTGGTAAAGATCCCAGGAATCATCAGCGCAATGTGCTGGGTTACTGATTTCGGTTTTACAGTTTTTTTCACTCGGACAACACATGCCTGTGTTTTGGTTGCTCCAAACCGAGTTACCGGGGCAGCATCGGACGAAACCATACGATGCTTTGGTAAGGCCTTCTCCTCCGAGACAGGTTTTCTTTCTGCGTATTGCGAATCCGTACGGCGGATGTGACGGATCCTTAGACATGATAGGCAAGAAAGAAACAAAATAAACGAAAGTTAAGAATAGAAGAAATGTGCGCGACGTATATTAACCAAAGGCGACTGAATATAGGACAAGAGTAATGACCTATTTTGAAAATGAAAATAACAGACGGGGAAACTGGTGAGCTTCAGGGGTCTTGCATGGATAGAGGGACCAACCCTACGCTATGGCCTTACATTGGCGCATGCGTATTAATCTCAGTCGCGAAATCAGCCTTGGCATAGGTGCAGAATCAGTCTTAGCGTAGTTAGGTGTGTTTCCTACTTTGTAAGCAAACCATGGTAATATAACCTTCCTGGAGTGCTGCCGAAGGTAGCATGTCAATTCTTTGAACACCTTTGAGTACCCCAAGAATGCCATGGATAAACGCTTTCTTCCTGGACGGGAAGATAGACCTGGGCAAAGCCACTGGGCATAGGGTAACCGCCCCCACTTGAGCTGGGAACACCCTTCCCGCATTTTACAAGTTGTGACAGAACAAGGCAAAGATTAACTACTTAGTGGGTCTCGTAGTCCTGGGGGCATAAGCGAGAAGAATTATCAAGAGGTCAAATCAAAGCAAAAGGACATCAATTCACTAATAGAATGTACGACATAGGTAGAGGACTCTGTAAGAGAGCAAAACGATCTATGGATGTAAGCCAGATTATTTCAATACCAAAACTGGTAACGGTACATGGGGCGGGATGAGGGACGAGCGCCAAAGACCCACGGGTGTGAATTAGTTCGCGAAGGCGTTTATACTAGACCTAAAGGAGCAATACGGACTCTGACAGGATCAAAAACTAAAATAGAAATCGTTTCCACTATACTCCGTATGCCAAAACGTCTAATGGTGCGCTAACACCATAGCATGTGTCAGCTTATATTGTCGTCGATTGGATCAGAGAGGAGGATAGTGGAGAGTGGCTTAGCAAGTTGGCATGAACATTTAGCATTCGCGGTCATGATGCTCTTAGTCGTGCTTGGGCCGACGAAACAGCCAAGCACTCTTTTGTTTATTGTAACCACGTCGAATATTGTGTGAGTATCATACCTGCATTCGGCGAGGGTATCTATCCAAGATACTCCCTTTATACACCTTCACGCGCTTTTATTTGTGACTGCGGGAATCTTTTGGTTCAGTTTGGTCATACTACCTTGATACAATTTGATTTTCGCAACCTCGGCGCGTAAGAGGACACAATGACCAGAAGGGGCCTCGAGCGTTTTCTTTGTGCTCGTTTGAAAGATGCCTAATTTCATCACTCATTTTTGCTCCCCGGCTTGCGCTTTAACTTTGGCCCCAAATACCAAGCATGACTATCCTCAAGATACGGTAGGCTACGATCGAGGAACAAATATTCGGTGTAGCTTGTCCGATTCATTACTAACACTAATGTCAACGGAAAACCTAGCGAAGGGACCGGTTTAAATGCGCCTCGGATATTGCATGTCCGAGCAAGATTGCCGAATGCTGATAGATGATGGACTTTGCCTAGGTGTAATTATTAAAAGGACAGGGCTCATGTCCGTCAGCCGTTTAATGGGGCGGTATTTCTTCCTGTGATTGGCTTGGGTACTCCCGAGAGTTGGCGGTGCCATAGATTAGATCCGTGCTTCCGTACCATATTGTGGCAAAGTCAATTGCTATATGCACACTACCTAGCTACTCCGAACAACACCACCTACTCAGTTCATAACATGGCTGCCTGCTTGGAAACACTCCATATAAAAGACAGCTCTATTGTCGTTTTATATCTGTTGGATTATCCCATTTCTCATTGTTTGCTTACAGCATGAGCAGATTGTTAGACATCAGGGTATAAATACCCTGCTTTTTCCTAGATTGAATAACAATGGTTCTTCTTCTCTTCCTCCCCTTTGCCAGTAGGCATAAGAACATTCTCATCATTCATCAAGCCTATAGTATTATTTCCTACATTGCTCTATCAACAAACTCAAGTCGAACTTTCATTTCAAGAAGCATGTCCATCCCTGATCTCAACTAAAACATCCCATGCTGGGACCCTGCTACCAACGCGGAGGAGCAGGGCACATCGCACCCTTTTTTCCCCTCCTCACGGAGAAAGTGATCATCCTTATCCCAACCCGTGGACTTTCCAGTCTGATAACGGGTCGAGGTGGTCGGCCAGACCATTCCTACATGCCTCCATGGGCCCAATCCATCAACAAAAACCAGGGTAACGAGCCCAATAACTAAACCGGTAGCACCTCCACTTCCCACAAGCCATACCCTTTCCCGGGCCACACCCAGCAGCCTCATACTGACTAGGGCCCTCTTCCATGGCAGCAGCCCTATGCCTATTTCGGTCCTTCAGATGGTAGAAAGTCTTTGGGTGACGACAACCACAGATTGCCCCCTTGCAAGCCATACCCCTACCCTGGATCGACTGATGGCCATAGACCATACCGCTATCCGGAGGCGGTCTCGTGGGGACAGTTCCAACCCTCCCCACGGAAAAACGAGGAACAGTTCAAGCCTTCATTTGTTCGTCAACCATATTTGTTTCTGGGTGGGTTACATAGCACAAGTCCACCCCCCCAGCAACCTTTCGAAAACTTGAGTAACCCTTACGGTGAGACTCCCTCTCCTCGGCAGCCATACCCATTCCCCAGCGGCCAACAAGGCGGGCCTAGTAGACGGGAATGGGGCGACTTTGGAGAACCTCACAAGGCCTACGGCCCATGGGCATTCACGCAACAAACACCCTGGACACGCCTGCCTACTGGATCCGACAAATATATTACCGAGGTTGATATATTCAATACTCCAGGGACATTTGTGATTCACGTGCCGCTCCCGGGGGCGAAGAAGGAAGATATCGAGGTTAACTGGGATCCGAAGAGGGTGGAACTCAGCATTACCGGTTTGATCAACCGACCTGGCTCTGAGGACCTAGTCAAGACAATTGTGTTAGATGAGCGCAAGGTTGGGACGTTTCATCGAAAGGTGCGATTGGGTAGTCGAGCGAATCCCCCCAAGGTAGATGCAGATGCGATTTCAGCCATGTTGGAGGTTGGGGGTTCTTGTTAAGGTGCCGAAGACGGAGTCTGATAATGTTGAGGCTAAGAAGGTTGAGGTTGAGTGATCGGAGGGTTCAGCTCGCATGGGGTAGAATGGTTAATAAGATTGTAAATGTACGATATTCTGAGTTTTGTCTACTTATACAGGTTTTTTTGCCACCCGAACGGATGTGTAGATCATTAACATTGAAAACAGTAGATGGTTTGAAGCGTCAGCTTTCAACAGTTATCCTAGTTCTCCATGTTGCGTACGTATAGTCAGAATAGTTATATACTTCCATCACTGACGATTTTACGAACGACAATCACTTAATTTACCCCCTACCATAAAGATAAAGAAAGTTCACGATCTTATCAAAGTTTAACACAAATCCACAATGCTTATCTCCGCGGGCCCAAAACAAATTCAAGATCGGGCTAGATTCGGACGTTGACCGAAGATCTGTTTGATCTTCTATAATCGCGTCGGCAACATCAATTACAAAGATATACATGTTTCCTTTTGCATCCAAGTAGTGTGAAAAGACTGATTACCCCCAAAACCCCCAAACATTGAAAGATGGCGGCAGCCGAAAGTGGGACACCTTCCAAACCCCCACATGAGACGAAAAATGTCAACACTGTCATTGGTAGAGATGTTGAAGAAGTGACACTCTCATATCGTCCCAGCAGATGGCAGAGTAATATCACCATCATCAGTTGTGTGAGTCTAATGTTGACAGACTCGAAATTCAGCTGCTGACTCGTCCAGTATATCGCCAACTTTAGCGATGGCTTTCAAAACACCCTCGCCAATCCCACAAATGTTATTTTCAAGCAGGTGCTTGGAGCTGATGGATTTTCTTCCGATATGAAGACTCGCATGAGCAACTCAGTCATCGTCGGAGCCATCCTTGGTGTTGTTGTTTTCGGATACACCTCTGATATGTTTTCACGACGCGCCGGATTACTCTTCACATCCTCCCTGGTCGCAATCGGTACCTTGATGGCGGCACTGACTCTACAGATGCATCCCTCGAGTAACATGCTGTGGTATTTTGTTGTAGTTCGTGGAATTGCCGGATTTGGTGTTGGAGGTGAATACCCTCCTAGTGCCGCTGCTGGCATTGAAGAATCGGACTGGGTAAGCCTTTAGCCGCTCCCTCACTTGGATCTATTCTCATGATTCTTAGACTATGCGCAAATACAGAGGGCCAATGTTTGTGTCCTTTACGACTTTGATGGCCACACTAGCGGGTCCAATTTTGATGATAATCTATTTGATCACACTCATTGCCACGGACAATAACCTTGTTATCGCCTTTCACGCCATTTACTCCATTGCCACTCTCCTCCCGGTCTCAATTATCGTTTTGAGACTGTTCATGGTGGACTCGTCTCTATTCCACTACTCCAATTTCAAGCGGCAGCGGAAGTCATGGCGCCTTTGCCTCCTTCTTGCACGGCGTTATTGGTGGAGGCTATTGACTACATCGCTAGCCTTCTTTTTGTATGATTTCATTAATTTCCCCAACAACATAATGTCCAGCACGATCATCTCCTCTTTGGTTACAGATCACAATGTTCAGACAACAGCTATTTGGCAGGTTGTTTTGGCCGCCCTGCCAGTTCCCGGCGTTGTGTTGGGGGCCTGGCTTACCAATGCGATTGGACGTCGCTGGACTGGAATTTTGGGCTTCGCTGGATATGTTGTGCTTGGTTTCGTTATCGGTGGCACATACACGAAGCTTTCTCAAAACATCGCGGCCTTCGTTGTTCTGTATGGCCTGTTGCAAGCATTTGGCCATATGGGACCCGGTGCTACCATTGGGCTTATATCTTCTGAGTCTTTTCCCACTGCCATGCGGTCTACGGGATATAGTGTCGCGACAGCTTTTGGTAGAACGGGTGCTGCCGTTGGCACTCAGTGCTTTACCCCCTGCAGGACCGTGCTGGTAACAGCTCCACCTTTTACTTGGCTGGTGGTGTCGCTATCCTCGGCATGATGGTATACTACTTGTTGCCTGAAAGTAGAGATTTGGATTTGAAGAAAGAAGATAAGGAGCTGAACGAATATCTTACGCAGCACGGATTTACGACTGATGGGAAAGAGTGTTTGTGAAGTTCTACTATCCAAAGAAGACTGAGAAATTTTTGCTAGATTTATAGACCGACTAGATATATGTTTATTAAACAAATTTGGTGAAAGAACTGAATGTCAGCTGGCTAAAGTTCATCTCAATTTTGAACAATTGGTCAATCACCCACATGTAGGGCGTTTGATTCCATCATGTAGACCATCACATGGCCTTTTTTTTCACCCGACTCCTACACTGCTATTCTAACAGAATTTTATCATGACTTTCGTCTCCAGGTGTTCAGAAAATCGCCGATATGCCTCTGGTGCCTCTTCGATATCGATGGTACTGGAGAAGACGAAGCCCGGGTTAGCTATACCACTTTTCACAAGTTCCAGCAGTGGCCCAACAAATAACTTGCTGTCCACTGCACCGCCACGAATGCTCATGTTTTTCCCCCAGAACAGCGTGATAGGAAACGTCATATTTGGTGAGATGGTGTCACCTCGTTCAACTCCGTTGGAATTCGGCTGGGCAAGGTGTACCCCAAGAACCCCCAAACCACCACCCACGCTGGTGCACTTTATCGCCTGTGTGATAACGAAGGACTGATCGGGCTTCAATTTTTCGTTGACGCATTCCTCCCCAACACAATCTACAGTGCGCTGAACGCCACCCGGTTCCCGAGCAAGAATCTGAGCCGACGGTTCGCCCTTCGTGAAGTTGATCGGAATGGCTCCAATAGAAACTGCGAGGTCGAGTCGTTCTTGGACGGAGTCGATGCAGTACACACGAGAGGCCCCACGGAGAATTGCCGAATACGCAGCAAGAAGTCCCACTGGGCCGGCCCCAAAAATTGCGATCTTATCTCCGGCCTGGAAGCCCGACCAAGTGACCCCCGTCCAGGCAGTAGGGAAGATATCTGAAAGAACAACGAGATCCTTATCCTCAATCTCCTCAAATTCTTCATCGAGAATGATCAAGGACTTGTCTGCAAGTGGAACACGGACAAATTCGGCTGTTGAGAATAGCGTGGCCAGTCAGACACAGGTTTTATAAGAGATTCTGCAGGGCTGAATCGTACCTTGACAGCCTCCCAAATTGCCAAAGATGGATCCTTCTCCGTATAATGCAATTGTAGGGTTAATTACTGGTTCTAAATCTAGCTTAATGCCATCAGGAATGTCAGGGATAATGACCCGATCCCCAACCTTCACGGAATCAACATCTGCTCCGACTTTCTCGACGATACCTATAGCCTCATGTCCAATGGGATAAGGAACCCGGTTGCTGCCAAAGACACCGTGGTAGTTGTGCAGGTCGGAGCCACAGATAGCGGCGGAAGTAACCCGAACCACGGCATCGGTTTGCCTGACGACATGTGCCTTCGGAACATCGCGGACATGAATCTTGAGCGGGTGGCCATCAAAAACGACTGATCGCATAGTTCTGCTATTGCTATGCGTCTCTGCCATGATGTGTAAATATATATATAATGATATTGGAGCGTTGAAAATGTGGGATAAGTTCTTGGGTGATTCTTGTCGAGCAGGAGGCCATTTGCTCTTAGATTTGAATTAGCCGACATTAGTACTTGCCAGGAGTGACTGGTCTTTATATAGCAATTGGTGATAATATGCACCCGTCCACATGTTCCGTGTATAGATAGGACCTGACATCATATACTTAGGTATTTTGCGTCTCAACCACGTCAGCCTTCAATCGGAAACGGCTATGTCTAGAACATCTATACTAGTCTGCCATCCTCTATTGTCTAGTCACTCAACAAAATGGCCTTAACCGTTAGTTAAGAGTGGACCGGATGACGCGAGATCGTACTAAGAACGGGTGGCAAAAGTTGTACCCCATCATCACACAAGCTTTTTTAACTGTGGCGCTCGGATTCGCCTCAACCGTTACCTATCGTTAAGACGTCACAGAATTCATAGGTAAGCGAGTAGGGCCCTGAGCATCACCTGAGTAGGCTTCCGCAGAGCCTATAAAGCCCAAAGCCCAACCTACGCTAGGCTAGAAATGGCTAAAATGGCTAGTATGAGAGAATAGAGCTAAATTGTAGAAATCTAAGTTGATACATATGATACTTTAATTAGGGGTCTCCATGTCCCACTTGTATCCTTGATTTTGAGTTGTGATTCAATTTCCGATATCGTATGAAGTACACTCTATTTTGGACATTGTTGTTCTACTCTGAACGCTCCTTCCCAGTAGGCACCGTCCATCCATTCAGGATACCACAGCCGGCGTTGAGATACGCCGCATATCCGAGCCACACAGTATAGGGAACGAGACACCAGAAAGCGGTCCGATCGGCCGTCCACCAGTTGACCATCAAGGCGCCCACATTGCCCGCTAATAGGGCCAGATCTCCCAAGGCTAAGGCCGGTCGGCCCAGCCGGAAGAAGAGGGGCATCCAGAGGAAATTCAAGGCCAGTTGCGTGGTGTAGAGGGTCTGAGCAGTAGAATTGGCATCACGGACAGCTAGAGAAAAAGATCGCGACGCGGTGGTGGTCGCATGGTGAGAGGCGTAACCCATCAATCCATAAAGGACGGTCCAGGCCGGCGCGAAGAACCATCCTGGGGGACTGTAGGGCGGCTGCTTCAGCTGCTTGTAGGTTTGACGATTTTGCTTTCCTACAGAGTCGTTAATGATTGTCTGCGATCGTTACCGGTCGACTTACGATTGGTCAAGAGGGCCGCTGTAGTCCCTGCAGTGATTGGGGTCGCAACCGCCAAATAAGGGTTGGTAAGGAGAACATGAGGCAGAGCGAAAGACCAAGGCATTTTGAAATCAAATTCTATATTCTAGCTCTACAATCTAGAGTGAAGAACAAAATGCGAAGTCATCGAAATCGTTTTCCCCCCTACGTCATCCCCCTGCCTTGGCACGCCACAAGCCGGGAAGAGTCAATAGCCGCCATTCGTCAGCTGCTTGCTTTCTTTTATAAATTCATGGGAAAGAGATCAATGATGGTGAAATCGAGGTAAGGCGGAACCGATGAGATGTATGAGAAAACTTACCTAGGGTTTCAAAGTTGGATGACAGTTGGAGATCGACGTGTCTGCAACAGGATCATCTAACTGCTTATTGAGTACAATTAAGTGGTCACTGAGTAATCACCCTGTGCCAGGTGTGAGATACTCAGTGAGCTGAGCGCCATAAAGATCGGGAAATTCGCATTTGTGGCCGGTACAGATACATATGTAGGCTTACTGTATATACATCGTTTCTTAATCTAATATACATATTTGACTCCACACCAACAGTCTTAAATCAATCCTCTCCCTTCTCACAATGTTGACTACACCTACAAACACAGATATTGTGATCAACATGTAGATCCTACACCACAGGGGTAATCATCAAGGAGAGGTTAAATCGAAGGGCCAATAATCCGATGCACTGCTTGCACCTCCGGAGACAGGCTTTTCAAAGCCGAACCGAGCTCGTCGGCAGCTTGAACCAGAATATCGTCCGTGAGCGGCTCTAGGGCATCGAGGATGAATAAAACACGCGAGGTATCATCGGTCAAGGCAGTCCGTGGGCCCTGTCGCCAATTCCAGCGACGGCAAGTGATACCGCTGTCATCACGCCAGACTGGCTCCCCGGGCGCCGCAAGTTCCGTTTGAGGTTTCCCGCCAGAAAACGTCTCGAACTCCTCATTACCAGTGGCACGGACGAGGACAGGCGATCCGTCGTATTTGTCAAGGTCCTCACCTCCGAATGGGATCTGATACTTGACAGAGATAGCATTGTAGATGTCGGTCAGCCGGTTGACTCGTGGCAAGCCATCCTGCGCGCGACGAGTCAGAGCTTCGAGGCTGTTGCGCGTTTTTTGAGGCTTAGCTCCGAAGGCCTTGTAAGCCTCGCGCCATGCAGCGATGTGTGGAAGTTCGGTAACGGGACAATTGGATAGCTTGTCCTTGGCAGAATTTTCTGCCTCGATCAAAAGGGCTTCGCTAAAATCATCGCTTGGGCCTGTAGGAATACCCTCCACCACCATCAAGAGGGCGCGATAATCCGGACGTAGCTCGAATATCTCTGGGGCTACATGCGCATTATGCAGTAACTTGTGTGCCTCTTGCATCCTGCTCATGATTGAGAATGAATGATTGTAAAGGTATTGGAGATGTGCCTGATTGTTGCGAGCTGGGCATAAGACGATAACGTAGGCGAGGAAATGTGTGGATTTTGTTAAGAGTAATACAGAAAAAGGAAATGGGGGATAGCTTCACATAATATAATGAATCAGGTCAGATCCGAAGGCGAACTTACCTTGATAAAATTTTCGTCGGGCCACTGCAATCTCTTGCTAATGTCGCCTCGTTTTGGACAGAAAAGTAGTTCGGTGGGTTCTCACTGCCCCTTAGCCCCTCTACCTTCAAGTTCCTAGGACAGTAAATAGTGGATACAACGTTGTTATTCTAATATACCCTCAAGGCTGTTGTGGTAATAGTCGCTTCTGAAAAGGGTAGTTGACGGGAGTGGGGTCAATCATAAGGGATACCAGTGTTTGATTGGCTGTTTCTACGAGCCTAATGAGAATATACTCTGGCCCACCAGCCTTTCCATGGTTGTTTCGAGTACAACCAAGGAAGCCGAGGGTTATCTATGCTTGGCGTTTCATGATGTACATTTCTACATTTGTATATATTTATACCGTAATTTGCATCACACCGAAAGAACTGTTTCATAAGAAGTACTAGATACCTGCCAGATCGTTTCAACATGTCTTGTCCTGGGAAAAAGCACTCATTCATTCAACTATCTCATCATTAATCGGTCATATAGTTACTGTATTTTGAAGATCCTGCCTCTTCCAATCAAAACATTTCCCATCCCTCTCTCTACCTTGCGCCCTAGTAGACTATCAGAGTTGCGCAACCCAGATGTGCTGCCAAAATACCAAGTCACCTTGCGTCATTTACTGTGGTCTGTCCGGGTAAGCATCGTACAGCCCATCAGCAACGCGAATGTGGCTGTAAGATGCTTCGCCTTCCCCATTCTGGAAGAAGCGAATCTCAGTCGAGTTTTCATACCAAGGGCTACCATGGAGTTAGTTTATGTTCTGTGAAAAGTGAAAGCAAAACGATAAGGGAAACATACCGGACCCAGGTAGACAACACAAAGCGAGAGTTGGCATAAACCTCCAGGACAGAGTTATCAACCACAATGGTCAGGCTGAGAGTCTCAATGTGCTCATTGCCAGCTTCATTGGATGTAGAAGTGTGGTCATCGCTCCCCCACACATAATTGGAGATTAAATCATCTATAAACTCCTCAGTCTTGTCATCGCCATTGTCATCGTTCTCGTCACAAGGACAATTGTCGTGGTTGTCGTGGTTGTCGTGGTTGCCATGAATGCCACAGGTGTCATTAATGTCAAACAGACGAATACGTCCAGATTCCGGTGACGCATCGATACCGGTCGTCGTGCTGCCAGCGGCACTCGTTCGAGAACGATCAATCATGATGGACTCATTGGAGAACTGATAATAGATGGTGGTTGACTCAAACTCGGATGCCAGAATTTGGAAGCCCGCTTGCAGGCTAGATGCACGTTCATCGAAGTTGATCTCAGCCTCAAGAATAAAGAATCTACTATCTGGAGAGCGACTGAATGGAATGACACCTTCACTGGTAGTCGTCCGGTCAGGCTCGGTGAAGCTGGGGGCAGCAGTCATAGCGGCGTAGGTCTCCCGCGCAATGTCAATTCCCAGTGTTTCGAGTTCAACGCATTCGCCCGTCGAGTTCGAGTTGGCAGCCACACGCCATGAGCCAGTCTCCTTCACGAGATCGTTATTCACCACGTTAGGGATGGCCTTGATGTACAACTCGCGCGATGTCAACAAGGTATTTTGCCATCCTTGCTGCTCAGCTGGGAAGCCGACAATTCCTCCAAAAACATCTCCAGTCAACCAGACATAGCTGATGAAACGATCTGGGGCGCCGCTGGCTTTAGAAGCTTGGGAAGACCGAGGTAGGACTTTTCCCGCTGCCGCATAGGATGCTAAGCCCCAGTCAAAGACACCAACCATATCAGGTGTGAATGTCACGTTTTCACCATTGGTGTTGGCAATTGCTCCTGCTGCCCAGATTTGGGCATGTTGCGAGGAGACTGACTCCTGAATGGGAGCATAGGAACTCTCCACCGCAATGGTCATGAAAGGTTCACCGTTGTAGCTGTATCCATCTCTGGTGAGGCCGAAGATGTTGCTAGTCTCCCAATTGAACCCGAAGGTCCTAGACCAGTCACCATTCCCCCATGTCGAGTTGGCGGATTCATGGAACCATTCTCCAAGATACTCCCACTGCTCAAAGTCGGGACTCGTGTTCTGGTAGAGGAACATGCCAGGTCCGACGTCATGAATACCGCCTGAAATGATAGTATACCAAGTACCTACGGCATTGCCAAGGGATTGATCGAGTTCCCCATTTTGGAAAACGTAGGGGTCGCGGAAGGCCGTTACATCCAGGCCTGCTGGGGGCTCAGGGATAACAGGCGGAATTTCCAATTTGGTGAAATTTTTCCCCCCGTCGTAGGTGACTGCCAGTGATTGTGATTCACTTCCTCTGGTGTAAGGAAGCGTCCAATGGATTGGCAATGAGGATACCGACGTGTACAAAAGTGTCGGTTTGCCGTCAACGCCACTAGGGATGACAGAGCCGTCAAAAACGGCAAGGGGGTCATTGGGACCGCCAGCAACGATTGAGTAGTTGCCGTTAGGATTAACATCGTAATAATGAACAAGATCGGCCGTCAGAACACTAGAAATACCAGTACCATTGTGGAGGAACCCGACGTGGAAGAGCCCTGTTTCGGGATCATTGTAGTGCGCACATGGGTCGCCGATCTGGCCGTAGGGTGGAAGAACATGAGTATGTGGTCTCCAAGTCTCAAACAAAGATAATGCAGGAAGGTCCGCGAGATTTGGAGGTGCAGAGTTGTAGTCTTGAGCAGAGGCTCCCGCCCAAATCGTGACTAAAACCGACGCTGTCGTTTTGACCTTCATGATGAGGAAGGTTGGTTGGGTAAATAACCACAAGGAATGACTTCGTTGACGCGAATTAAATGTATCTTCTTACAGCAGAAATACGTTCCATTATATGAAAATAATGAACATTCTAACCCCTTAGAAGTTTGCATTCTATGATACTGATCCCCCGCTGAGGAATTTCAATGCTAGCGAGGGAGGAGCTGTAGATTTGATACAGGGGGATAATCCTGGAATGCACCCCGGTAACATAATGCCTTCATTCTTCGAAGACTTGACATGAATAGCCTGTAAAATCTCGCTAAATTATCTAGGATATTAAAATGTAAAGGCTCTATGGGCACACGCAAAAGGAATCGAGTATATTTAGGTTTCTGGTTTCTGTCAGAACCACAAAATCAATGTGTATTTGCATCTATCTTTCGACATTGTTAATGGGTTTATCCTTTGGTTACATTGATTACAACTTGAATCTTCTTCAGATACTCTCGCCCTAAGCGCATATTGGACGGACCATCGCCTTATGTCCACTTGGGATCAAAGCTGAGTACCCTGGATGACACCAGAAAGCACCTTGGGTCATCTGGATATTTACCCCTGGAAACAATGGTAACGTCGCCATCTGGATCAAATCGTTCAATGCTAGAACTAAGTTGTCGATCTGCTAGTTCTTTACTCGGCATTTGGACCCTTGTTTCAGAAATTTTGTAAAGGGGGGAAGAGGGAGTGGGCGGATGAATATGAAAGAGATATTGCTGTCATATATGGTGCAGGTACTACATGCCTAAAAAGCAAGAGGTGATCAAGAATGTAACGGTGATGATCCACCTACTCCAATGAAGCTCTTTATTAGACCTCTCAATAGCCCACAAAGCCCATAGCCCAGCCCAACCTACCAAATGTAACCCACCAAATGGGCTGGGTTTTGGGTAGACTTCCGCAAAGCCCATAAATGGGCCCGAGGTCCGGGCCCAAAGCCCAACCCTCAGTGGGCTATGGGCCCAACCTCCAGGGCCCAACCCAACCCATAGCCCATTCGTGGGGGCCCATAAGGCCCCCAAGAAAGCCCATTTCTATGCATAACTACGGTCTTGGCGTTCATAAACCTGATGATTAATGCCTGTTTTTTACGCATGTTCTACTCTGTAAGCCTATGTTTCGGCCCGACGTTTTACCAGGCCTAATCCGGGGGTTCAACTCCCAATCCGGGTGTTCAACTACTCCAAGAATCAAGATATCAAGATTCAACGGCAACGACCTGGTAATAAAGGTCATAGGTAAAACTTACTATACCAATTTTTACTAGATTTCACAGAAATTTACCAAAAAAGTCGATTTTCATCAAGATTTCGTAGTATTCTGGTAATTGGAGAATTACTGAGTGTCCACATGCAGAGATATATATCTCATGTAGGCGGAAGTAAGTGCATCTTTCTGTTAAAGTATGACATTTTTAATAGCCAGATTCATGATTTGTAGGTTTACAGAATTGAATTTTATACTAAAAGATAGCTAATCTCTCACCATCGACGTCTGTTTTTACGGATATGTGATATTTTAGCTATTTAGGAGTCTTGGTATAATAGTATATTATGACAGAGTATAATGGTGTGAAGGAAGTCATATATAAATTACTGGTAACATTCATATATCTATGGATATATTAAATCTGGTAAACTATAATATGACTCACCTCTAAATCGCCATAAATCATGAGATAATGGAATATCATCGATTATCCTATATTTGCCTCCTAAATAGTCTATAAAAAGGCGCTGATTTACACTTTAATGTAAATTTAATATGCTTCCTGATATATTCATAACATACACATATCCTCATCTCCTTATCTCCTATTTAGGATAAGTATTACCTTGCTTATTAATATCTTATATAATTTGCTTATATAAGATAACTTCCCTAAATATTATAGTCTACTACTAGACTATAATAATTGTTCTGCTTAATTGCTCACATTCTCTCACTAAGAAGGTAGGTTATATCGAATTCTTCCTCCCTTAACCTGATTCCCCGAAGCCATTCCCTAAGGCCCTTCATACAATTCTGAATCCATTAACTGATCATGTCGCAAAGCCAGTAAACCGAGTTTAGATCGTCTCAGTTGAGTCTATTCGACTCCGAGGCCGACGACTTATCATTTCTTACCCCTTCTAATTACCCAGCTACCCCGTCTACCTCTCGGCAGGTTAATAGCTTCTCGTTTATTCAACCGTCTGTTCCTTCGTCCGTCGCCCCGGAATCAGATCCCCTTAAACGCTTCTAACGTATCGGTCCTGGTAGGAGAGGCTAGTTCTTTCTTTACGACGCGATGAATCACACCGATTAGGTCGACTGGTGGTTAGAGACTGACTATGGATCTAATAATAGCAAGATCGCTTGGGAATCATAACATGGGTCCGCTTCAGAGACCTAGAAACAGTTTAAGTAAGTGGCGTATGCGGACACTAGAAGCCTAAAGGTTATGTGTAAGCGATGCGATATAATTCTTAAGCACCCATATGCTACTAAGAAAGATGCTAATGGGAAGGTTAGCCGTTATGGCACGACGACTATTACCCGTCATCTTCAGACCTCAGCCTGCCAAAAGGCCGCAGGAGTACGGTAATAAAGGGGGGGACTAAGAGGGTTTCTTCAATCGGTATAGAGTAGCCTATCATTCTTTAACACTGCTAACTAGTTATTTCTATCGAAGCAAGGTCATCTAACCGATCAACCGTTCTCGTAAGACGCCTGGGAGGATAAACTCTTACAGTTTATCACCATTAACCGGCTTCCGTTCAATCTCGTTAAACATCTAACCTTCCGTGACTTGATCTCGCACTCGCAGTCCGCCCTAAACCTTCTAACTATACTATCATCTGATATAATCCGACGTCGGCTGTCTGCTCGGGTAAAAGAGCGATAACGGGATACACTCAGGATGCTGCCAGAGCATGCGAAGATCTCGGTTACGTTAGACTGTTAGATATCTCCGTTTAGGCAGGCGTTTATGGCCATCACTGGCTATTTTATCGACGCCGACTGGGTCTACCGCGAGGTACTACTCGGCTTTAAACCCCTTTATGGCACACATTCGGGTGCGAACCTAAGTGCTGTTCTTATAAAGACGCTTACTAAGCATGGAATTAAGGATCGAGTCTTTGGATTAACCACTGATAACGCGTTAAATAATAAGACTCTGGTTGATACACTTTAACAGACTTTACCTAGTGATGTTAATGTTATCCGAATCCCCTGTCTTACCTATGTGATCTAATTAAGTTTAAATTAACTGCTTGATCGTTTGAAAGCAGTCCCACTGAACGATGCTACTGAGAGCACATGGACAGACCGCTAAGCCACCCTCGTAAGGGCGAATGCACGATCCAGGGATATATCGCATACCTTAAATAAGGTACGGTATCTTGCCGTTTATATCCGCGGTAGTCCTCAGCGCCGGGACTCATTCACTGCTGTCTAACCGCCAGGGCAGGGGCTTATGCCGATCCAGGATGTCAGAACTCGATGGAATTTAACGTTTCTTATGCTCCGCCGGGTAAAGAGACTCCGCGTTTTCATTATGAAGTTCTGTGATCAGTTTAATTGCAAAGACTTCGCACTTAACGATGATTAATGGCGCCAGATTAACTACCTTCTTTGTCTCACAAAGCCATTCTTTGATTATACCCTCGCCCTTTCTAAGACTCGAGACGTGACATCGCATCTTATCTTCCAGATCTATAACTTGCTATTTAAGCATATTAAACGATTAAAGATACAGTTACGACGAAAGCATGTCGTTTGGAAGAAGTAAATGCTTACCTCTCTCGAAGCTAGCCATGCAAAGTTACGTGACTACTATAAGGCGACCGATAAGATGCGGGGCTATATCTATGCGGTTTATACGATGCTATCACCGGATAGTAGATTCTAGTTCTTTCTTTCTGATGACTGGGCCGACGCTAAAGAACTCCGTGATCAGTACCGAGTGGCATTCCGGGATGCACTTACTCCTATCTAGGAGCGTCTTACTGCTGCGAAAGGCCCGCAAGAGTCTTTAGGATCGACGCTAAGATCTTTCCTTCATAACTTAGTTCGAAGCCAGAAGTCTAACTTCACAGTAGTGCTAATTAGGGATGAGTTAACGCAGTATCTCGACGGTAGTAAGTTTCACCCTTCTTGTCTTTATGCCTATCTTCATATCTTCACTTGATACTAATTTCATATAGATGTGACTGATTATGAGCCGCTCTCTTTCTGGAGAGAGAACTAATCCCGTTTTCCCGCCATTGCTGCACTTACTAGGGACATCCTTATAATTCCAGTAACTGGCGCTAGGGTAGAACGTCTGTTTAACACTGCACGCGATATCTGCCACTATCGGCGCGGTCGTATGAAGTCTGAGACCATTGAGGAGCTGATGCTATACCTCTGTACATTAAGGTTTGAGCTTAAAGTGCAGGAAGCTAAGGATCTTGAAGAATTCTTCTCTTCTGATGAGATCCAGGCATTGAGGGAAGAAAAGAATGAGTGCCCAGATGATGTCGAAGTTAAAGAGATCAGTGACACTGAAGAGCAGGGTGATGAACCTAGTTCTGGGGATCTGATAGATGTTGACGATGACGATGCTACGATCACTGTCGCACCATCCCAGGTGCGTTCATCGGGGAGGAAGAGAAAGCATGTCGAGGATGAATCGTATGAGCATTATTAGCATGTAGATAGTTTAACCTCACTTGGTATCTTATCAATCAATCTCATCAATCTCATCAATCAATCTCATCAATCTCATCAATCAGTCAATTCCGTCAATTCCCATGAGAACTCAGTTAATTGGGGGCCTTAGACGGTAATTTGAATACTCAAAAATACTAGGAAATTCTACATTACTTATGCATATGCCAAGAATTGGCATGTTTGTATTGTTTGGAGCCCATTGGGCCCCCATAAAAGCCCAGTGGGCTTCTACCTCAGGCCCATGGCCCATCGATGGGCTCGAGGGCTAGGCCCAAAACCCAGCCCATTTGCGGGTTGGGCCTAGGTTGGGCTTTGGGCTTTTGGGCCGGTGCGGAAGTCTAGTTTTGGGCCCTACCTTTGGGCTCATTGGTGGGTCGTGGGCCCGGAATGAAAGCCCGCAAAGCCTATTCGGACCCATAATGGGCCCTAAATAATACAAACATACTAATTCATCGTAGCTGTATAATTAATGCATTTTTCTCTGGGTTTTTTTAGGTATTCAAACTACCATCTGAGCGATACATGAAGCTATACAGAACTCTTCTTCTTATAAGCTTATATATTAACTCATAAGATGTAAAGTTAATTTTATAAAGCTTTAATCTTTATAAAGGGTACTTGTTTTTTTTGGGGAATTACATAGTGAAAAGAAGTACAATTAGTGCTACTATAACTAATTAACACCTAACTAGTTAGTTATAGACCTAATAACTATATATATCTCTTCATACTGATACTCAATAATCCTCCTAAGTGCGAATTCGTGGTCAAGTTAGATATTTTTAGGGTGATTTTGTATGAAATTTTACATGAAATCTAGTATCATAATGCTAAAATCAGTATAATATCTAATGAATTCCTACTTCTTACTATAATAATATGATGAAATTGAATATACAGGTTGGTACATGCGTAAAATACAGCCATTAATCAGCTATTTTATACGTGCTAAGACTGTATTTGTGCACATAAATGGGCTGTGGGCCGGGGACTTGGGCCCATTTGCGGGCTATTGAGAGGTCTACTCTTTGTATAGCTTCATAAGAACAAAGAGCAAAGTCCTGGAACCCAGCAAAGAGGCAAACAAAGATCTGACACGCATGGCATAAGACTATTGTCTCTTATTTCTGTAGAAAAAGCCTCTGCATTTGCATAACGGCAAAGGGAAACCTAACTAAATAGGGAAAACCTCAGCCAAGACATGATAATATCATAGATCAAACATCAACGTCCAGATCCGCATCCCCGCCCGCGGCAAATTCTATGATAGTAGCAAGGGGATTATAATACTCCGACTTTTCCTCAACTTGATTTCCACCTTCCCTTGCTATCGCAAAGGTGGCAAAGGTGACAGAGAGAATAGCGAAGAACTTCATGTTGAGGGATGTTTGATTTCCCGGAGGTGATGAACAGTAATAAAGGATTTCGGAAAGAGTTATCATTCAGTACTTATTACTAGCGACATGCTACATTACATGGGAAACACCCTTCCGGCTTGATGCTTTCGGATGATCTTCCTCAGGGGATACCCCGAAATGGACCCGCGGATCGACTCTAAAAGATGACTAAGCGGGGAGATAAAAAAAATGCGATAACATTCCCCACAGTATATCGAATGTCCCTCATTTCACGAATTGAACGCTTGTTTTGCGCTTTTTATGACATCTGATCTAGCATGACGATCCGAAACCCTCTTCCACTCCCCGATGAGTGGAAGGATCCCGACGAATATGTCCAGGCTCTCCTCTCCTTCGCAACTGAATCGGTCATGTTCATGAACGTTTGTGGTGGCGTGCATATCCTCGACTTCTTGACGCGCGATCCCGATCTTTACACGTCACTACTGCCAGAAGATTGGCGATATTTCTTCGACCATCACGATATCCACAATATCTTGCAACTGCTCCTACGAGAGGACATTAGCCCACTCTGCGCACCCGAAACAAACGCAGCCTCCGAGAATGGCAGGACTTGGAACGGAGGCGTATTTCCGCCTGCAAGCCTCCTCGAGTATATTCGCAACATTCGACGACTGAGCTTCCGTCGCGAGTTCACCACGCCTGAGAAGAGCGAACCTCTTCCGAGACATATTGCTGTCGGCATGAACAAGAAAAAAAAAGCATGAGGTGGAACAATTCTCTCGTTATGTCGCGTCTTTGTCGGAGACGGTCAATGAGAGTCGCGGGGAGCCATTGTCTCATATTGTCGATTTTGGTTCGGGACAAAACTACCTGGGGCGCATGCTGGCAAGCTCGCCATATCATAAGCATATCATTGCTATTGAGCGAAAGCACCAATACATAAGCGGTGCTAACCGTATGGATGTTCATGCTCGACTGGCTACGGAAGAAAAGAAAAAGACAATCCATAATGCAAAGCTAAACAAATCGAAAAGGCAATGCATCGACTGTACCGACACCCCAGAACTAACCCCAGACCTGACCACTTCGGAAAAGCCCGAAATTCCTAACTCGGAGATGGGAGCACTGGAGCTGAACGATGCAGTTTCAGAAAAACCTGCTGGACAGGATGAAGATACTACGATCT